ATGTCACTACTCCCAGTAGGCTACGGCCCCTCCCCAGCCTCCTAGAGCGGCACCTCGACCTCTCTCTCTCGCTTTATCAGCACTTGTTAATAAAGTAGCTTACAAAAATACTTTTCTGCTGCTTCCCTCACTCAGATCGGACCGGGTCTGGATCTGACCAGGTCTATACGGAATGGGTCTAGTTGTCCTCGGGTCCGTTCGGAACAGGTCTTTATATTTTAAAATTGTATTTATGCATATCAGGTCGGGGTGGGAAAGCCACAGGTTCATTTCTGAACGGGTCCGACTTTTTGGATCCGTGAAGCCATCTAGCTGGAGGTAAGGTCTTTGCCAGCACCCCATTGATGGGCATGGCAGTGTAGATCAGCTCCTGGCCCCTCATCAAAGATACTGGTTGGTCACATACAAACACACACACAGAGCACATAGTACATTATCAATAGTGGTTAAGATTAGCATGGTGAAACCAACCTGATCGCTGCATTCATTTTTCTATTTCACTTCTGATATCGTGATATGTGAAGTGAAATAGAATGGTAAACGCAGCGATCAGGCTGGTTCCACCAGGCTAGGTTATGAAGGTGAATTGGGACAAAACTCCAAACTGTTTTGTCACCAAACTGATTCAAGTGTCCTCCCTGTTCCATTTCTAGGAATGCTCACAGCAAGGGCATGTCTGGTGATGCTGACGGTCGCCTTGCTGGTCTTCTCTATGTTGCATGTTTGGCTGCAAACTTGACATCTCTCAAACAACTGCAGCAGGCAATCCTCATAAACAATGTACTTCCTCATCTTATGAGGTGGTGTTGACTGGGAGGGCCGTTGACAGTGTGATATAATAGACAGACAAGTGGTAAATTGCATTTTGTTATATAGAAAGAACAAAGCTTTTTGCTAATGCACTTCACAACTTTACTAGTTTATCAAACTGGGTATTTTTTTATAAAACATTTCACATAACACACATTACCGTTGTTAATAAAGCCGTCTGTGTCATCAGGGCAGTAACTCGCTAATTCTAGAAAATTCTAGATCATCACTACTGTAGTTACCACAGACACAAAGTTATAAACCCAGCCTATTTCTACAATTTCTCATCTTAAAATGTGATTTTAAACCTAACCGTAACCCGAACCACACAGCTAACCTTATGCCTAACCCTAACCTTAAGACCAAGAAAGACGAGGACAAAACAGATTGCTAATACATTTAAACATGTTATTAATAATATAGCCTCAAAGGTAATACAACATACCGTCCCCTCCTGTACTCCCTGTTCACCCACGACTGCGTGGCCACGCACGACTCCAACTCAATCATCAAATTTGCTGACGACACAACGGTGGTGGGCCTGATCACTGATGACGATGAGACAGCCTACAGGGAGGAGGTCAGTGACCTGGCAGTGTGGTGTTGAAACAACAACCTCTCCCTCAACGTCAACGTCAGTAAGACCAAGGAGCTGATCGTGGAAGACAGGAAACGGGGGCGAGCACGACCCCATCCACATCGATGGGGCTGCAGTGGAGCGGGTCGAGAGTTCCTCGGTGTCCAAATCTTACAAGTACTTAAAATGGTCCACACACACACGCGAACAGTGGCCCTTCCCCGTCAGGAGGTTGAAAAGGTTTGGCATGGGCCCTCAGATCCTCAAAAAGTTATACAGCTGTACCAATGAGAGAATCTTGACTGGCTGCATCACTGCTTGGTATGGCAACAGCACCGCCCTCGATCACATGGCGCTACAGAGGGTGGAGCGGACAGCCCAGTACATCACTGGGGCTGAGCTCCCTGCCTCACTGGGGCTGAGCTCCAGGACATCTATAGCAGGCGGTCTGAAAGGAAGGCCTGGAAAATCATTAGACTCCAGCCACCCAAGCCAAAGACTGTTCTCTCTGCTTCCGCATGGCAAGTGTTACCGGTGCAGCAAGTCGGACACCAACAGGCTCCCGAACAGCTTCTATCCCCAAGCCATAAAACTGCTACAGTGAGGGAAAAAAGTATTTGATCCCCTGCTGATTTTGTACGTTTGCCCCCTGACAAAGACATTATCAGTCTATAATTTTAATGGTAGGTTTATTTGAACAGTGAGAGACAGAATAACAACAAAAAAATCTGCATGTAAAAAATGTTATAAATTGATTTGCATTTTAATGAGGGAAATAAGTATTTGACCCCCTCTCAATCAGAAAGATTTATGGCTCCCAGGTGTCTTTTATACAGGTAACGAGCTGAAATTAGGAGCACACTCTTATTAAAGGGAGGGCTCCTAATCTCAGTTTGTTACCTGTATAAAAGACACCCGTCCACAGAAGCAATCAATCAATCAGATTCCAAACTCTCCACCATGGCCAAGACCAAAGAGCTCTCCAAGGATGTCAGGGACAAGATTGTAGACCTACACAAGGCTGGAATGGGCTACAAGACCATCGCCAAGCAGCTTGGTGAGAAGGTAACAACAGTTGGTGCGATTATTCGCAAATGGAAGAAACACAAAATAACTGTCAATCTCCCTTGGCCTGGGGCTCCATGCAAGATCTCACCTCGTGGAGTTGCAATGATCATGAGAACGGTGAGGAATCAGCCCAGAACTACATGGGAGGATCTTGTCAATGATCTCAAGGCAGCTGGGACCATAGTCACCAAGAAAACAATTGGTAACACACTACGCTGTGAAGGACTGAAATCCTGCAGCGCCCGCAAGGTCTCCCTGCTCAAGAAAGCACATATACAGGCCTGTCTGTAGTTTGCCAATGAACATCTGAATGATTCAGAGGAGAACTGGGTGAAAGTGTTGTGGTCAGATGAGACCAAAATCGAGCTCTTTGGCATCAACTCGCCGTGTTTGGAGGAGGAGGAATGCTGCCTATGACCCCAAGAACAGCATCCCCACCGTCAAACATGGAGGTGGAAACATTATGCTTTGGGGGTGTTTTTCTGCTAAGGGGACAGGACAACTTCACCGCATCAAAGGGACGATGGACCGTCAAATCTTGGGTGAGAACCTCTTTCCCTCAGCCAGGGCATTGAAAGTGGGTCGTAGATTTATTTTTATATATTTAACCTTTATTTAACCAGGTAAGCCAGTTGAGAACAAGTTCTCATTTACAACTGCGACCTGGATGGGTATTCCAGGATGACAATGACCCAAAACACACGGCCAAGGCAACAAAGGAGTGGCTCAAGAAGAAGCACATTAATGTCCTGGAGTGGCCTAGCCAGTCTCCAGACCTTAATCCCATAGAAAATCTGTGGAGGGAGCTAAAGGTTCGAGTTGCCAAACGTCAGCCTCGAAACCTTAATGACTTGGAGAAGATCTGCAAAGAGGAGTGGGACAAAATCCCTCCTGAGATGTGTGCAAACCTGGTAGGCAACTACAAGAAACGTCTGACCTCTGTGATTGCCAACAAGGGTTTTGCCACGAAGTACTAAGTAATGTTTTGCAGAGGGGTCAAATACTTATTTCCCTCATTAAAATGCAAATCAATTTATAACATTTTTGACATGCGTTTTTCTGGATTTTGTTGTTGTTATTCTGTCTCTCACTGTTCAAATAAACCTACCATTAACATTATAGACTGATCATTTCTTTGTCAGTGGGCAAACGTACAAAATCAGCAGGATCAAATACTTTTTTCCCTCACTGTAAATAGCAAACAAAATGGTTACACTGACTATCTGAGTTGACCCTTGTATTTTATTTATATTTTTTCACTGTCTCTATGCACACTCACAGGGCCCTACACACTCACACACACTGTCACTCCCACACACACACAAACACTGACTCCATCATCTGCTCACTCACACATAATATGGACATACATTTATACTGACTCTACACACCCACACTCACATACAATCTGCTGCTACTCTGTTTATCATATATCCTGATGCCTAGTTACCTTCCCCCTATACATATCTACCTCTATCACTCCAGTATCCCTGCACATTGCAAATATGGTACTGGTACTGACTGACCCAATACATAGTATGCTGACCTACTTTCTCCTGTTCTTCTTATTTCTGTTTCTCATGTGTGTTTTTTTTGTTCTACCTAATTGAAACATTTTGAAGTGCAAGAAAGGCATTTCACTGTACTTGTGCATGTGACATTAAAACTGGAAACTTCAGTTGAGATTGGTGGACATCAGTTGGTAATCAGTCCTATCCAGACCCTCTGTCTCTGCTGATTGGTTCTCTCGGACTCAGAACTTTCTGGGCAAAGGTCTGATTCCCATGTCCTCTTACAGTTGAGCCTTGGGACGAAGTCACTGTCCTCAACGGATAATAATCATAATCATAATCATAACAATACATTTGATTTTAAGAGCCTTTCAAGTCACCCTAGGACACAAAAATGTCAAACATAATAAAAGAAAAAAAAACACAAGATTGAAAAGAGATTTTAAAAAATAGACTACCTCTTCTGTGTCTTCCAGGATGGTTATTTTGGTTGTAACAGCCTGGGCTACTAGAAGGGCTGGACACCCTGGTCCTCTTACAGGTGACCCATGGTCCTCTCTTTCTCTTGGAGGGCGGGACCCTCTGGTCCTCTCTTATGGGAGACTCTAGACGCTTCACATCCAAACCACTCTAACCTACGGAATGAAAGACAATACACACAACCAGACTCACTAAAAGACACCAGCTGTCTTCACAAATGTTGAATGTGATTATGTTCTCCTGATAAACTTGGAGTTTGATACTCACCATCACTCAGGGAACTGGCTGGGTGAGTCCTTTCTGGTTCTGCCTCCCTGCTTCTCAACCAGGTGACCCATGATGGAACCGCCTGAGGGTCAAGGAGGACACAGGCAAGCCCTCTGGTGTTCTCAGGGCTGGAGCTCTGGAGGATCTCATGGTGCTCGCCCACCATGCCCTTCAGATCCACAGGGGCCGTAGCCACTGCCTGGTCCTCAACCCCCAGAGCATCGGTTCTGGCCACTGGGACTTCACGGCTTTGATCTTGATCAGAGGATAAGGGGGGTTTGGGCTCTATGAAGAGGCCCACCTCTCTGGACTGTTCTAACTGGTCATCTGACTCCAAGTCAAAGTCAGACTCAAAGCCTGAGTCGTAGCCCAAGTCAGGATCAGACCCTTCCTGGTCAGACTGATAGTTGGAGTCAGACTCATAGCCATGGTCATACAGATGCATTGACATTTTAGCAATCCAAAGTTACACAGAGTGTCTCAAAACGACCTGTCTTCTCAGAAGGTTAAGGCATTTATGGGGCGGTTGTTGATTCTGTTTCTAGAATGTTGTGGGTTTTACAATGTTATTGATGGTTTCTATGGCAAACCAAGCTTGATTTGTCGAACCAGACTTCTAAAGTATAATGGTTGGCTATGTGGCCAGGGAGAAATGGACATTCAATCCAAACAACTTAATTGTCCCCCTGTGTGGAATGGTACATACAATGAAATGCATACAAATTATACAAATATTGCAAAGCAATAAAGGCAATAGATGACCTAACAGATGACATCAATTTAAAAAAGCTGCACTCACAGTCTGTATAGTTTTACTATACTGGTGCTGGTCACAGTGTTTCTGAATCTGTGTGTGTCTTGAGTGTAATGCCACACATTTGGTTGTTTCGTTCATTCAGCATAAAACTACATTTACAGTCATTAGCTGGCTCCGTGGACTAGTTCAAAGTATCAACAACAACTAAACTCCAATGATTATTGTGGTATTTGTAAACTGATTAGCGGTATGTGTAGCATTCATAACTGACAGAAGGTGTGAATGAAAGCTTGACATGAATTCCCTTTCAATAAAATCATAAGGCTGTGTTTACACATGCAGCCCATTCTGATATTTTGCCCAATTATTGGCAAAAGAGCTGATCTGATTGTTCCAAAGACAAATTAGTGGAAAAATATCAGAATTGGTCTGCCTGTGTAAATGCAGCCATAAAGCTTAAAATATCTGGATTATAATATTTAAAACACTCTTATCTTAGTGTGTGCTAGCCTATATCTATTTTAATGTTCTGTGTGTTTGTGTTTGTTGTCTGTCTGCAGGGCTGGAGTACTGTGTGCGTATGCAGCTAACCAGAACCTGAGCTCCCAGCTCAAAGGCATGAAGAGACTGGTTAGCAGTAACCTTAAGGACCTGCAGACCTTTGCCAATGAGACGCCAACGGTACAGCCTTTTTACGGTAGCTGCAATGACAGTTAACTGTAGGTGTGCACACAAGGCTAAGTAGAGAATGTAAGAGATGGATAGATTAAACGTCCTCATGTATATTGTATGCTTCGCAAAGTGTGTGTGTGTGTGTGAGATAGCGAGAGACTGACAGAGTAACACAATCTCTGACTAAAAACAGTCCTGCGTTTCTGTGACTTTCTTCTGCTCTTGTTTTCACAGCAAATTGATTACCTAATAGCACAATACGCCACTGCCAAGTACTCAGTCATTTCTGACCTAGATAGTAAGTAAAGTGCCTGAGGCCACGTCTCCATATTGTCTTTGTTCGGTCTATTGTCTGTTGCAGAAAACGATGAATCTATGGCCATATCAGGTCCCCTAGATACATAACAGAGTTGGGGTCAATTTCATTTCAATTCAGTCAATTCAGGAAGTCAACTGAAATTCTAATGTTTCTATTGCTTTTCTATGAGAGAAATTGGAATTGGAATTTGAACGTCTGTTTACTTCCTGAATTAAAATGTAATTGACCCCAACCCTGATACATAATGATGCAATTTCCACATCCTCAGATGTGGGTCCTCTGCTTGGAGGGAAGATTCATGAGGAATTGGGCAAAGAGGTGCGTCCTGCACTGGACGGGGTGCTCCGTATGGCTGGAGGTATGTCCTGTCCTTATGATGTAATTTCCTCTTTCAGACAGATGCTGTAATTGTTTTCCTCTCTACCACACTGACAATACTGCCCTCAAATTGGACATAAGTTATAAGGATATTTTAAGAATATACTGTGTATAGTACAGTAGCATTGTAGTTCTTATAGAAATATCTTGTTAATTAGCACATAACAAGGTGTACTTAAATGGCTGAAGTAGACATCCTTCTCTTTCCTTTTTATTTGTTGTCGTAAAGTCAAAGTTCAGAGGGCCATTAAAGGTAACAGTAAATTAACCTTGACCGGTGACCCCTTGACCTTGTGACCTTGAGACTTCACCCTTGTGTCACTCTTGTGATTGGTCCCCTTGTGGTTCTCCTGGCTCTTGAGCCAATTGTAGCCTGGTCCAAGATCTGTTTGTGCCATTGGCGTGAGAATGACCATAGGAAATGGCAAGACAGCAGAAACAGTTCTGGGACCAGGCTAAATCGCTAGACATCCCTGTGTGTGTACAATATACTACCTGCCTCTATTTGGAACTGTCCAAACCTACCTTGTGTGCCATCTTAATTATGAATCGATATGGATATATTAAGTATATGGCCTCCCAAGTTCCAACCTTGCTCCAACAGTGGATTGAACCTGCAACTGTTGTTCACCTGTTCAATTCTAAAAGCTGTCCCCGTGTGAATATGTGTGTGTTATTTTGTGTGTAATCAAGGCCAGGGTATGGATGTGCATGTGTGTGTATTTGGTTTGTGCGTGCGTGCTTGTGTTTTTGTGAATCTACCGTGTGCATACGTGTGTGGGTCTTTACTATGTGCACTCTCACACACACTTTAAATGGATCTAGTTCTGTCCTTGAGCTGTTCTTGTCTATGAATGTTCTGTATTATGTAATGTTTTGTGTGGACCCCAGGAAGAATAGCTGCTGCTTTCACAACAGCTAATGGGGATCCTAATAAAATACCAAATACCAAATACTCACCACTTCTCCATCCTACCCCGTCCCCATCCCCAGCCATGCGGGAGACCAAGGAGGCCCTGGAGAACGTGAGGGTGTCTCTGGAGGTTCTCCAGGAGGCGACAGGGAAGCTCCACTTCAACCTGAGCCTGGTGCGCTCCAGCCTGAACAGAACCCTCAACGATCCGGGCTGCAGCAACGAGGACTCGGATGCCACCACCGCCCAGCTCTGCCGCTCCATCCACAGCTCCCTGGCACAGCTCTACGTCAGCGCCAACTTCACCCGGGTATGCTGGCACACTTAATTAAAGATGCTAATAATAGTGATACTGTAATAATTAGATTAATATAGCACAATATAAGTATGTGATGTGTTGCAGTTACCTGATGTGAACAATCACCTGGAAAGTGTGAATCAGGTGCTGAAAACGGACCTCAACGAAATCATTCAAAAGGTGAGTCTAGAAATGTTGCAAAACCTTTAGGTACTGTATAAGTTGTGAGATTTTCTTTGATATTTGTCATACTGTATCATCAATGCAAACCTTTCTATTTTCTTCTCCAAACAGGGCTTCTCCTCATTCAATGACACTCCAGGCATGGTGAGTGACCAGATGAGGAGCGTAGTCGACGGTGAGTGGCATCTCTTTAACCTCATTTAATGCTCCTAAACAAGTTTCAGAAGACACTAAATGAAGGGTTATATCATTTTGAGTGTTCAACTTTGCATTGCCAAGTCAGTCATCTATCTATGGTATGAATACTCATTGATGGTAATGTCTTATACGCCCAATAAGATCAATGTCCATATTCCAATTATTGACCTACACCTGAACTGTTGTACGCCAATAACCCAAAATATAACGTTGTATTACTCCATTATTTCACTAATGCCCCTGAATATAAATACACTCTCTCCCTCCCAGGAGCCCGGGGCATGTTGGACGTCATCAGCGCCAACATCAGCAGTTCCTCCAAGGTGTTCCCTGTAAACAGCACTCTGGCCAACTTCACCAACTTCATCAGTCACACACAGTCCAAGATAGAAGACTCCTACCCTGAGATCGATCAGATAGACTTCTATAGGTACAATCAGGAACTGGGCCCCTATTCACAAACTGTGTGTCCTAAATGGTACCCTATTCCCTATATAGTGTGCTACTTTTGACCAGGGCCCATGATGGGTATGGGTGGTCCTCTGTAGCTCAGCTGGTAGAGCACGGTGCTTGTAAAGCCAGGGTAGTGGGTTCGATCCCCGGGACCACCCATACACAAAAATGTATGCACGCATGACTGTAAGTCGCTTTGGATAAAAGCGTCTGCTAAATGGCATATTATATTATTATTATTATTAGAACAAATAAAGGTCTTCACCTGCCTGGTCTGTGGTAGATTGACGTAAAGACAATAGAATCTGACAGGCTGTAGTCTCCATTGTTATGGCATCTTATCCTAATGTAGTGGTTGGTTGTTACTTGTTATGGGATCTTATCCTAATGTAGTGGTTGGTTGTTACTTGTTATGGCATCTTATCCTAATGTAGTGGTTGGTTGTTACTTACATTTTTACATTTACATTTTAGTCATTTAGCAGACGCTCTTATCCAGAGCGACTTACAGTTAGTGAATACATATTTATTTTATACTGGCCCCCCGTGGGAATAGAACCCACAACCCTGGCGTTGCAAACGCCATGCTCTATCAACTGAGCTACATCCCTGCCGGCCATTCCCTCCCCTACCCTGGACGACGCTGGGCCAATTGTGCGCCGCCCATGAGTCTCCCGGTCGCGGCCGGCTGCGACAGAGCCTGGATTCGAACCAGGATCTCTAGTGGCACAGTTAGCACTGCGATGCAGTGCCTTAGACCACTGCGCCACTCAGGAGACAGTTACTTGTTATGGCATCTTATCCTAATGTAGTGGTTGGTTGTTAATTGTTATGCTGTCTTATCCTAATGTAGTGGTTGGTTGTTACTTGTTTTGGCATCTTATCCTAATGTAGTGGTTGGTTGTTACTTATTCTGGCATCTTATCCTAATGTAGTGCTTGGTTGTTACTTGTTATGGGATCTTATCCTAATGTAGTGCTTGGTTGTTACTTGTTATGGCATCTTATCCTAATGTAGTGGTTGGTTGTTACTTGTTATGGCATCTTATCCTAATGTAGTGGTTGGTTGTTACTTGTTTTGGCATCTTATCCTAATGTAGTGGTTGGTTGTTACTTGTTTTGGTGTCATATCCTATTGTAATTTTTGGTTGTTACTTGTTATGGCATCTTATCCTAATGTAGTGGTTGGTTGTTACTTGTTTTGGCATCTTATCCTAATGTAGTGGTTGGTTGTTACTTATTCTGGCATCTTATCCTAATGTAGTGCTTGGTTGTTACTTGTTATGGGATCTTATCCTAATGTAGTGCTTGGTTGTTACTTGTTATGGCATCTTATCCTAATGTAGTGGTTGGTTGTTACTTGTTATGGCATCTTATCCTAATGTAGTGGTTGGTTGTTACTTGTTATGGCATAATATCCTAATGTAGTGGTTGGTTGTTAATTGTTATACCATCTTAGCCTAATGTAGTGGTTGGTTGTTAATTGTTATGCCATCTTAGCCTAATGTAGTGGTTGGTTGTTACTTGTTATGGCATCTTATCCTAAAGTAGTGGTTGGTTGTTACTTGTTATGCCGTCTTATCCTAATGTAGTGGTTGGTTGTTACTTGTTATGGCATCTTATCCTAAAGTAGTTGTTGGTTGTTACTTGTTATGGCGTCTTATCCTAAAGTAGTGGTTGGTTGTTACTTGTTATGGCGTCATATCCTAATGTAGTGCTTGGTTGTTACTTGTTATGCCGTCTTATCCTAAAGTAGTGGTTGGTTGTTACTTGTTATGGCATCTTATCCTAAAGTAGTGGTTGGTTGTTACTTGTTATGGCGTCTTATCCTAAAGTAGTGGTTGGTTGTTACTTGTTATGGCATCTTATCCTAAAGTAGTGGTTGGTTGTTACTTGTTATGGCATCTTATCCTAAAGTAGTGGTTGGTTGTTACTTGTTATGGCGTCTTATCCTAAAGTAGTGGTTGGTTGTTACTTGTTATGGTGTCTTATCCTAAAGTAGTGGTTGGTTGTTACTTGTTATGGTGTCTTATCCTAAAGTAGTGGTTGGTTGTTACTTGTTATGGCGTCTTATCCTAAAGTAGTGGTTGGTTGTTACTTGTTATGGTGTCTTATCCTAAAGTAGTGGTTGGTTGTTACTTGTTATGGCGTCTTATCCTAAAGTAGTGGTTGGTTATTATTGTTATGGCGTCTTATTCTAATGTAGTGCTTGGTTGTTACTTGTTATGGCGTCTTATCCTAATGTAGTGGTTGGTTGTTACTTGTTATGGTGTACTGACTCCAGGGTTCCTCTACAGGTGGATTTGCTGTATTGGGCTGTGCTGCATGGTGGTTCTCATCGTGGCCTTCAACTTCCTGGCCATAATGTGTGGCACCATGGGATATGACAAGCACGCCTCCCCCACCACACGGGGCTGCGTCTCCAACACCGGCGGTACCCTTCTCATGGCGTGAGTATTTCTGGCCAGCTAGCTGGCTGGCTGGGTATCTGTTTGGCAGGTTGTCTATCTATCTATCTATCTATCTATCTATCTATCTATCTATCTATCTATCTATCTATCTATCTATCTATCTATCTATCTATCTATCTATCTATCTATCTATCTATCTATCTATCTATCTATCTATCTATCTATCTATCTATCTATCTATCTATCTATCTATCTATCTATCTATCTATCTATCTATCTATCTATCTATCTATCTATCTATCTATCTATCTATCTATCTATCTATCTATCTATCTATCTATCTATCTATCTATCTATCTATCTATCTATCTATCTACTGTGTCTGTCTGTCTACACTTTCTACAGTATATACAGCACTAAGAGTGTGTAGATTGATTGATTGACTGATTGATTGAATGCTCTATCTATGTGTGTCTCCACAGCGGTGTGGGTTTCAGCTTCCTCTTCTCTTGGATACTGATGGGAGTGGTGACCGCCACCTTCCTGGTCGGGGGCAACGTGGAGAAGCTGGTCTGTGAGCCCTTCCACACCAAGCAGCTCTTCAAGGCAAGTTATGATGTGATAACTCTTAATGTGACAATGTTTAGGTATTGTATATGGTCCTTCTCTATAATAATGGTCTAGAACTGTATGATGGTCTTACTGGTCATTTGTGTCCCAGGTTTTGGACACTCCTCACCTGGTGAACCCTGAGTGGAGGAACTTCATCCCGGGGTATATGTACAACGACTCAGACCTGGATCTGACAGTGGAGAGTCTCTACAGGTAATAATGTACTGGATGTATGGATGTAGCACTTACTACTGGGGATTCATTTCTGTGTGTTTTAATGATGGCCAATGTTTTACATAGACTGGCTGGTCTAAATAGAATTAAACTTGATTACTTATGGATAGAACCAGGTCATAACACTAGATATTCCTGTTTTGTGGCAGTGTTTGATTTAAATAAATGTCACAGGATAATGTCTGTGTCAATATTCTACCTCCTCACATTCTATCTGACATTGCTTATAATAAATGATTGAAACTAGGGATGCATGAATTGATTAGTGATCTTTTATGCCTGAGATTTCAGGCATCTCTCGATAAGAACAGGCAGCAAAGCTTCATTATATTTCCTTATAGAGACTAGTCGCCTCAGCTACTACCTAGTCAGGGAGTTAGCCATGACATAGTGTGTAAAGACATGACCATCCCTTTACCCTTACTTCACTCTCATTTACATTTTAGTCATTTAGCAGACGCTCTTATCCAGAGCGACTTACAGTTAGTGAGTGCATAATTTTTTTTCATACTGGTCCCCCGTGGGAATCGAACCCACAACCCTGGCGTTGCAAGCGCCATGCTCTACCAACTGAGCTACTCTCCCACGTGACCATTGAATGTGTTCAGTTATGTAACTACAAACGATGGACCTAAATGTGAAACGTGAGTCATGCATTCTGACTTAATACTTTGCGTTGGATAAGCTCTCTAAAAGTGATTTGTGAGAACACTGCTTATAAAATGACCGGAAGGCAGCGATACAGAGCTGAATAGAGTTCCAACTTTATTAACTGGGTGGCAGCAGAGAGAGCTAACTAACCAAGGAATTAATGAATGGACGTGATAATATTGACATTTCTCACTCTCTATTTCTTTCTCTCTCTCTTTTTTCCCTCTTTTCTTCTCCTCTCTCAGTAATTGCAAAAATAACAGAAGTCTCTACTCTGCCATGCGCCTGGATAAAGTCTTCAATGTCACAACCTTGCTAAACTCCAGCCTGGTCAGTATTCACATGCATTGTGCAGTGTGCACTCACTCACTGTAGGATACTTACTGCATATTTCATACCTGCACATGGTAACACATGGATATAATACGCTTTAGTTACTGTAATCACACTCACACCGAATCAGACCATTTTTTTCAAGTAGTTGAGATGTGTTTGATTTTACTTGCCTAAAACAATGTAACCAATGGAATAGTCCCAAAAATTTCAACTATGCCTATACTGCACACCAGTCAAGCTAAATCAAGTGTCTGTATTCCCACATTTAGATTAATGAGCATTAGCTAACAAAATGAGTTATTGCCAAAACAAAGAGCAGGCCAGTGAACTGTAGCATTAGCATTCCTTGACTGTTACCTCAGCCTATATCATTGGTCTTCCTTGACACCAGGCCTGTCTAGTGTCTACCAAGAGGACCGTTCTGTATCAGCCAGCCAGCTGGCAAGATTAGCTCGCCTCTTTTATTAAATAGTAAATAAGGATGGATAGAGCTGGCTAGCATAAGTTAGGCTAGATTAGGGATGGATAGAGCTGGCTAGCATAGGTTTGGCTAGGTTACAAAAAAGGAGAATGGCGGCGGAGGGAATGGGTGCCGTTTTATGGACTCTTAACCAACCGTGCTATTTTGTAAGTTTTTTCGTATTGTTTGTAACTTATTTTGTACATAATGTTGCTGCTACCGTCTCTTATGACCGAAAAGAGCTTCTGGACATCAGAACAGCGATTACTCACCTTGAACTGGACGAAGAATGTTTCTTTAATGAGTCGGACGAGAGGGATTTGCTACAGACACCCGACAGGGCCCTCATCGCCGTCATTTGCAGTAGAATAAAAATAAGATATCGCGGAAGGAGATCGGGTGCCTGGTAAGGAGTCGGCGATGAGTGGCTAATCTGCCTTTGCCATCGATACTATTGGCCAACTTACAATCCCTTGATAATAAAGTGGACAAACTAGAAGCACGTATATATCCTACCAACGGGACATAAAAAATTGTAATATCTTATGTTTCACTGAGTCATGGCTGAACGACGACATGAATAACATACAGCTGGCGGGTTATACACTGTATCGGCAGGATAGAACAGCAGCCTCTGGTAAGACAAGGGGTGGCGGTCTATGTATATTTGTAAACAACAGCTGGTGCACGATATCTAAGGAAGTTTCAAGGTTTTGCTAACCTGAGGTAGAGTATCTCATGATAAGCTGTAGACCACACTATCTACCAAGAGAGTTTTCATCTATATTCTTCGTAGCTGTCTATTTACCACCACAAACCGATGCTGGCACTAAGACCGCACTCAATGAACTGTATACAGCCATAAGCAAACAGGAAAACGCTCATCCAGTGGCGGTGCTCCTAGTGGCCAGGGACCACCTTTACTCGACACACAGAGGCGCGTACAAAGCTCTCCCTCGCCCTCCATTTGGCAAATCTGACCATAATTCTATCCTCCTGATTCCTGCTTACAAGCAAAAACTAAAGCAGGAAGCACCAGTGACTCGGTCAATAAAAAAATGGTCAGACTGTTTTTCTAGCACAGACTGGAATGTGTTCCGGGATTCTTCCGATGGCATTGAGGAGTACACCACATCAGTCACTAGCTTCATCAATCGATGACGTCGTCCCCACAGTGACTGTACGTACATACCCCAACCAGAAGCCATGGATTACAGGCAACATCCACACTGAGCTAAAGGGTAGAGCTGCCGCTTTCAAGGAGCGGGACTCTAACCCGGACGCTTATAAGAAATCCCGCTATGCCCTCCGACGAAACAACAAACAGGCAAAGCGTCAATACTGGACTAAGATCGAATCGTACTACACCGGCTCCGACGCTGGTCGGATGTGGCAGGGCTTGCAAACTATTACAGACTACAAAGGGAAGCACAGCCGCGAGCTGCCCAATGACATGAGCCTACCAGACGAGCTAAATTACTTCTATGCTCGCTTCGAGGCAAGTAACACTGAAACATGCATGAGGGCATCAGCTGTTCCGGAAGACTGTGTGATCACGCTCTCCGTAGCCGATGTGAGTAAGACAGGTCAACATTCACAAGGCCGCAGGGCCAGACAGATTACCAGGACGTGTACTCCGAGCATGCGCTGACCAACTGGCAATTGTCTTCACTGACATTCTCAACCTCTCCCTGTCTGAGTCTGTAATACCAACATGTTTCAAGCAGACCACCATAGTCTCTGTGCCCAAGAACACTAAGGTAACCTGTCTAAATGACTACCGACCCGTAGCACTCACGTCTGTAGCCATGAAGTGCTTTGAAAGGCTGGTCATGGCTCACATCAACACCATTATCCCAGAAACCCTAGACCCTCTCCAATTTGCATACCGCCCCAACAGATCCACAGATGATGCAATCTCTATGGCACTCCACACTGCCCTTTCACACCTGGACAAAAGGTACACCTATGTGAGAATGCTATTCATGCTCAGTCCCCTCCTGTACTCCCTGTTCACTCATGACTGCATGGCCAGGCACGACTCCAACACCATCATTAAGTTTGCCGATGACACAACAGTGATAGGCCTGATCACCGTCAACGACGAGACCGCCTATAGGTCCAAGCTTGTACCCCCAAGCTGTTTAGAAGCCCTCCCCCCTTTACACTGCTGCTACTCTCTGTTTATTATCTATGCATAGTAACTCTACCTACATGTACATATTACCTCAATTACCTCGACTAACCGGTGCCCCCGCACATTGACTCGTTACCGGTACCCCCTGTATATAGCCTCGCTATTGTTATTTTACTGCTTCTCTTTAATTATTAGTTGCTTGTTGTTGTTGTCGTTTTTAAATGTTTTTATTTATTGTATTTTTTTTGTATTCTTTCTTAAAATTGCATTGTTGCTTAAGGGCTTGTAAGTAAGTATTTCACTGTAAGGTCTACACCTGTTGTATTCAGCGCATGTGACAAGTAAAATGTGATTTTATTTTTTTATTTAACATTTACATTTACGTCATTTAGCAGACGCTCTTATCCAGAGCGACTTACAAATTGGTGCATTCACCTTATAGCCAGTGGGATAACCACTTTACAATGTTTTTTTTTTTGGGGGGGGTGGGGGTGGGTTGGGGTAAGGGGGGGGGGGGGGGGGAGAAGGATTACTTTATCCTATCCCAGGTATTCCTTAAAGAGGTGGGGTTTCAAATGTCTCCGGAAGGTGGTGAGTGACTCCGCTGTCCTGGCGTCGTGAGGGAGCTTGTTCCACCATTGGGGTGCCAGAGCAGCGAACAGTTTTGACTGGGCTGAGCGGGAACTATGCTTCCGCAGAGGTAGGGGAGCCAGCAGGCCAGAGGTGGATGAACGCAATGCCCTCGTTTGGGTGTAGGGACTGATAAGAGCCTGAAGGTACGGAGGTGCCGTTCCCCTCACAGCTCCGTAGGCAAGCACCATGGTCTTGTAGCAGATGCGAGCTTCAACTGGAAGCCAGTGGAGTGTGCGGAGGAGCGGGGGTGACGTGAGAGAACTTGGGAAGGTTGAACACCAGACGGGCTGCAGTATTCTGGATGAGTTGTAGGGGTTTAATGGCACAGGCAGGGAGCCCAGCCAACAGCGAGTTGCAGTAATCCAGACGGGAGATGACAAGTGCCTGGATTAGGACCTGTGCCGCTTCCTGTGTAAGGCAGGGTCGTACTCTCCGAATGTTGTAGAGCATGAACCTACAGGATCGGGTCACCGCCTTGATGTTAGCGGAGAACGACAGGGTGTTGTCCAGGGTCACGCCAAGGCTCTTCGCACTCTGGGAGGAGGACACAACGGAGTTGTCAACCGTGATGGCGAGATCATGGAACAGGCAGTCCTTCCCCGGGAGGAAGAGCAGCTCCGTCTTGCCAAGGTTCAGCTTGAGGTGGTGATCCGTCATCCATACTGATATGTCTGCCAGACATGCAGAGATGCGATTCGCCACCTGGTTATCAGAAGGGGGAAAGGACAAGATTAGTTGTGTGTCGTCTGCGTAGCAATGATAGGAGAGGCCATGTGAGGATATGACAGAGCCAAGTGACCTGGTGTATAGCGAGAATAGGAGAGGGCCTAGAACTGAGCCCTGGGGGACACCAGTGGTGAGAGCACGTGGTGCGGAGACAGCTTCTCGCCACGCCACTTGGTAGGAGCGACCGGTCAGGTAGGACGCAATCCAAGAGTGAGCCGCGCCGGAGATGCCCAGCTCGGAGAGGGTGGAGAGGAGGATTTGATGGTTCACAGTATCAAAGGCAGCAGACAGGTCTAGAAGGACAAGAGCAGAGGAGAGAGAGTTAGCTTTAGCAGTGCGGAGAGCCTCCGTGACACAGAGGAGAGCAGTCTCAGTTGAATGACCAGTCTTGAAACCTGACTGGTTTGGATCAAGAAGGTAATTCTGAAAGAGATAGCAAGAGAGTTGGCTAAAGATGGCACGCTCAATAGTTTTGGAGAGAAAAGAAAGAAGGGATACTGGTCTGTAGTTGTTGACATCAGAGGGGTCGAGTGTTGGTTTTTTGAGAAGGGGTGCAACTCTCGCTCTCTTGAAGACGGAAGAGACATAGCCAGCGGTCAAGGATGAGTTGATCAGCGAGGTGAGGTAAGGGAGAAGGTCACCGGAGATGGTCTGGAGAAGAGAGGAGGGGATAGGGTCAAGCGGGCAGGTTGTTGGGCGGCCTGCCGTCACAAGTCGCAAGATTTTATCTGGAGAGAGAGGGGAGAAAGAAGTCAAAGCATAGGGTAGGGCAGTGTGAGCAGGACCAGCAGTGTCATTTGACTTAACAAACGAGGATCGGATGTCGTCAAACTTCTTTTCAAAACGGTTGACGAAGTCATCCACAGAGAGGGAGGAGGGGGGAGGGGGGGGGGGGGGGGATTCAGCAGGGAGGAGAATGTGGCAAAGAGCTTCCTAGGGTTAGAGGCAGATGCTTGGAATTTAGAGTGGTAGAAAATGGCCTTAGCAGCAGAAACAGATGAAGAAAATGTAGAGAGGAGGGAGTGAAAAGATGCCAGGTCCGCAGGGAGTCTAGTTTTCTTCCATTTCCGCTCTGCTGCCCGGAGCTCTGTTCTGTGAGCTCGCAATGAGTCATCAAGCCACGGAGCTGGAAGCGAGGACCGAGCCGGCCGGGAGGATAGGGGACATAGAGAGTCAAAGGATGCAGAAAGGGAGGAGAGGAGGGTTGAGGAGGCAGAATCAGGAGATTGGAGGGAGAAGGATAGAGCAGAGGGAAGAGATGATAGGATGGAAGAGGAGAGAGTAGCGGGAGAGAGAGAGCGAAGGTTGCGACGGCGCATTACCATCTGTGTAGGGGCAGAGTGAGTAGTGTTGGAGGAGAGCGAGAGAGAAAAGGATACAAAGTAGTGGTCGGAGACATGGAGGGGAGTTGCAGTGAGATTAGTAGAACAACAGCATCTAGTAAAGATGAGGTCAAGCGTATTGCCTGCCTTATGAGTAGGGGGGGACGGTGAGAGGGTGAGGTCAAAAGAGGAGAGGAGTGGAAAGAAGGAGGCAGAGAGAAATGAGTCAAATGTAGACGTAGGGAGGTTGAAATCCCCCAGAACTGTGAGGGGTGAGCCATCCTCAGGAAAGGAACTTATCAAGGCGTCAAGCTCATTGATGAACTCTCCAAGGGAACCTGGAGGGCGATAGATGACAAGGATATTAAGCTTAAATGGGCTAGTGACTGTGACAGCATGGAATTCAAATGAGGAGATAGACAGATGGGTCAGGGGAAAAATTGAGAATGTCCACTTGGGAGAGATGAGGATTCCTGTGCCACCACCCCGCTGACCAGATGCTCTCGGGGTATGCGAGAACACATGGTCAGACGAGGAGAGAGCAGTAGGAGTAGCAGTGTTTTCAGTGGTAATCCATGTTTCCGTCAGCGCCAAGAAGTCGAGGGACTGGAGGGTAGCATAGGCTGAGATGAACTCTGCCTTGTTGGCAGCAGAACGGCAGTTCCAGAGGCTGCCTGAGACCTGGAACTCCACGTGGGTGGTGCGTGCAGGGACCACCAGGTTAGAGAGGCAGCAGCCACGCGGTGTGAGGCGTTTGTATAGCCTGTGCGGAGAGGAGAGAACAGGGATAGGCAGAGGCATAGTTGACAGGCTGCAGCAAATGGCTACAATAATGCAGAGGAGATCGGAATGAAATGAACTAAACATCTGGGAAAGGAGAGAGCGGGGCCTCCCTCACCACAACTCCCAAATATAACTCTCCCAACTTCCACCTCAGAAACTATAATTGTTGTAAACTACAGCGGTTCAATGTTTTCTAGGAATAGACTAACTTAGTTTATTCAGCTAGCTAACTAGGTACAGTATTATTCCGTGAAAATCGTCCGGGCACCTAGTCATAAGACGCCACAGCCAGCTAGCATGCCGGACTCCAACAACACGGTTTAGCGCCAATACTCGGCCACAACAAACCACCAGTGTATCAACACGCAAGCAGATCGTTCGTGTCCGTGTCTAACGTTGTGGGTTAGTCCCGACAGCTTGAGCGAGTCCGTCGTCAACTTATTCAGCCAGTTAGTTAGCTAGAATAGTTAGCAAGCTAGCTAGCCATTGCTTTCAGACAAAGAAGAACCCCTCCTTTCACGGCACGAACACACAGAGAGAGCCAAGCTAACGTTAACTAGTCACCCATGTCCCGAATTCCTTGAACGACTCGGGCTACCAATATGTAAAAAACAAAACACAAATGTAAGTTATGACTTACCCCTAGCAGCTACTGTTAGCTAGCCAAGTGCAAAGCTAGCCACTGAATTGACTCAGCCAGTTCGCGTCTGTTCGCTAGGTCGTTCCAGCTATTGTTTACTAGTAGCTATCCAGGTAGCAACAAGCTAGCTAAATTTCAAGCACAGTAGCCACTTGCTACCTAACGTTAACGGTTCAGACAATGAGGTTAGAAAACAGCTGAATGGTAGGCAATTATTGTATGTAATTATTGTAGGCAGCCAGCTGGCGTAATTACAGGCACTCTCAGGCGTGAAACAACTATACCGTTGCTAATAGCTACTCGCCAGCTAGTCCAGGTGGTGGGTTAGCTAGCTAGCTTCGTGCTACACCGGGCACAGCCGAATACAATACTAACCTACAATAATTACATACAACAACCCACGATAACTACCTACAATACCTAACTACAATCTAAATACATAGTTTAAGCCTTACTCGACAAAGCCCAAGCTATGTATAAAGCCAAGCTTACCCGACGCCAAGCTTAACTGACGACCTCCTCCTTCGACGGGTGACTGTAATAGCATTCTATATATATATATATATAGACCCCAAACAAAAAAGCTTATGGTTATTGACATTTGTTATTTATTTTGTTCTTATCTATTGTTTTTCAATGTGGTTCTTAGCTAGTGAGGATTTGTTGTGTCTTAGCTCGGGCTGCCCTGTTTTTTTCAGTCCTATTATATGAGTGTGTAGAAGACACAACGGAAAGAAAACAGGCCGTCTTAATCTGTACTTTGTATCAATGAATGGGGTTGCCTAGGAAGTAGGAAGACCCTCTTTGAATTAAGAGGGGCCTCAATGTAAAGTTTGTGTTGCTAGGTAGGGTAACAGAGTCCTACCCTGTCACTGGTCTGTGTTACCGCTCCAGCACCACACCACCACTAAGGAAATCAATAACAAACCCCTCTGTTTACATAACGCTGAATTACCAAGTAAACAACTTTGTTTTGATCACCATTTTGTTCTAAGCTCTCTAAAATAGTCTTGACCATAGAATTCTATTTCTATGTTCTCGACTCTCGCGGTACCAGACCTCAACACCGAGATCAAGGCTACTAAAGTGGAGGCTACTAAAATAGTTTTTGAAAACAAACCAATTGCACAAATGGAAACACGCGTTTTTGCTCTTGCAACAACCATGTGCAATGAAGATTGGCATAAACAAACAGATTCGCGCCTGTAACATTTCACCTGAAGGGTACCTACATAAGGACTTTAAAACACATTCATAACCCATCCATTACATATCAAATGTAACTAGGTTCCCTCTCTGTTTCCAGTACAGCAGGGAGTTGGTGAGGATGTTTGAAAGTGTAAAATTGACAGAAGGGCTTCATAAACCCACATTCGTTATCAATATATACCACATTCATAGCTATTGCTTATCTTTATCGATGTAGCTGACTGTTCTCCCTGTGTTTCCAGTACACCAAGGAGTTGGGGAAGATGTTTGACAGTGTGAAGATTGACCTGAGAGGTATTGTCCTGCTGGAGTCTGAGGGGAAACAGAGCCTCATTGACTTCTCTGAGACGGGCGTCGCCGAGATCAACTATGCAGCGTATCTGGAGGAGGTAGAGTACTGGCATTGAGGGGAAATCTCAATCTAAAAATACTTTCTCCCCGCCTATCGTTCATTTCTATAGTTTAAAGTGGCTTCCTCTACTCGACTCCTCTCCTCATCTCAATAGTCTAAAGGCTCCTCCTCTCCCTGTCTCAATAGTCTAAAGTGTCCTCCTCTCCTTATCTCAATAGTCTAAAGGCTCCTCCTCTCCTTATCTCAATAGTCTAAAGTATCCTCCTCTCCTTATCTCAATAGTATAAAGTGTCCTCCTCTCCTTATCTCAATAGTCTAAAGGCTCTTCCTCTCCTTATCTCAATAGTCTAAAGTGTCCTCCTCTCCTTATCTCAATAGTCTAAAGTATCCTCCTCTCCTTGTCTCCTATTCTCTCTTTCGTCTTAATAGTCTACTTTGGCTTCATCTCCTCATCTCTTCTCCTCCTTGTCTCCGCTCCTTCATCTCAAGCCACTGTAGACTTTTCAGATATACCTTCAAAAGACACACTAGCATACTTGTGCGACACATCACTAAAGATAGTTATAATTTCAGACGCTAACCTGCTTCAAAGCAACATCCTGCATTAGTGACTTATCTTTGAACGGAAGATTAAGTTCCTGTATGCAAGACAGATGTATACAATATTAACCAGCGTAGGAATACTTAACTGTCAAATCATATATTCTCTCATTTTAGGATGTACATTTAACATGAGATACCACGATGGATTTAGTATTTGCTTCTGTTATGGCTAACCAGGATTTAGCTAGCATCTTCCTGGGGTCTTCCTGAGTACTTCCTGGGGTTTTCCTGGGGTCTTCCTGAGTACTTCCTGGTGTCTTCCTGGGGTCTTCCTGGGATCTTCCCATGGTCTTCCTGGGGTCTTCCTGAGGTCTTCCTGGGTTCTTCCTGGGTTCATCCTGGGGTCTTCCTGGGGTATACATCTATTAATAGGATTGACCACACTTCCAGGGTTACAAGATAGCGATGCGCCACTGCTAAATGAATATAGGGGAAACACTGATGTATCTCTAGCAGTTGATTCGTTTATAGCTACTCTTTCCAAAAGCACAGTGTTTAATAAGATATAGACCTCAGATTATGTCTTCTCTTTATAGTGTGATATTACAAGGCTTATAAATGTTAGCTATGTCTCTATGTGCACAGTTGCACAACTGACTCTATATGGCTGTTATTATAAGATGAGAAGACAGAAGGGTGTCATACATGCTTATGAAAAGTCTTATAATGCATTGTAACAGCATCATAATACATTATAATCCTATTTCTGTTCATTTGCAGGTCAACAAAGGCGTGACTCAGGTGGACTTACTGTCGTACGCCAATGAGCTGGAGGCACAGACAGACCTAATGGTGAGAAGAACATACAACCAACCGTCCAATAAAAACTCTTACTGAAAAACCAACACGACTCCAACCAACCACACTATGTTTTCTCAGTGTACCAGTAGATTGAAACTTTATTTACACCACGATCCAAGACAGGGATTCAATGGAATGGGAGTTCAGATCTAAAGCTATGTGAAAGCTCCTCGTGTCTTCATCAACTGCATAGCCTCGTGGCGGTTTGCTGTCCACACACACAAACACAAACACACACACACACTGAAGCAGTCTCTGAAAGCACTTTTTAATGTTCTGCCTTCCGTTTAGGGGTTGGAAGCTCACACAAGCTCCCCATTCATGGCCCAAAATGTTGCTGAGTCCAACTCTGGGTCCTCCACCACCTGCCATGGGCTCAGGGGCAGTGGAGCCAGTTTAAAGTAGTCTTCTGTGGGGTGATATGTGCCCCTGCCGGTGCCCCCCTAATATTCATCTGGTGCCCATCTGTCCTGGTGCCCCATGTCCTGTTGGCATTGAGAACACACACACACTGGACTGAGAATGGTTCACCCATATAGAGATAATATAAATTACTTGATTCTACATGTAAGTCTATGGGTTCAATATGTATTTTATATGCTGCATTACGTTCATTGATTTAAGGCAGTCTCTTATACTAAGTGGTTTGCTGTGTGTAGGCCTGTGTACTATAGAGTTTTGCACAGATTGCGCATTTCTCTAAATATTTATAAATGTATACATACTGTACATTTAATGTAGTTTACAACAGGTTATTGGAAGGAAAACATCTGTGTGTGTGTGTTTTTACATACAGTGAGGGGAAAAAAGTATTTGATCCCCTGCTGATTTTGTACGTTTGCCCACTGACAAAGAAATGATCAGTCTATAATTTTAATGGTAGGTTTATTTGAACAGTGAGAGACAGAATAACAACAAAAAAATCCAGAAAAACGCATGTCAAAAATGTTATAAATTGATTTGCATTTTAATGAGGGAAATAAGTATTTGACCCCTCTGCAAAACATGACTTAGTACTTGGTGGCAAAACCCTTGTTGGCAATCACAGAGGTCAGACGTTTCTTGTAGTTGGCCACCAGGTTTGCACACATCTCAGGAGGGATTTTGTCCCACTCCTCTTTGCAGATCTTCTCCAAGTCATTAAGGTTTCGAGGCTGATGTTTGGCAACTCGAACCTTCAGCTCCCTCCACAGATTTTCTATGGGATTAAGGTCTGGAGACTGGCTAGGCCACTCCAGGACCTTAATGTGCTTCTTCTTGAGCCACTCCTTTGTTGCCTTGGCCGTGTGTTTTGGGTCATTGAAATGCTGGAATACCCATCCACGTCCCATTTTCAATGCCCTGGCTGAGGGAAGGAGGTTCTCACCCAAGATTTGACGGTACATGGCCCCGTCCATCGTCCCTTTGATGCAGTGAAGTTGTCCTGTCCCCTTAGCAGAAAAACACCCCCAAAGCATAATGTTTCCACCTCCATGTTTGACGGTGGGGATGGTGTTCTTGGGGTCATAGGCAGCATTCCTCCTCCTCCAAACACGGCGAGTTGAGTTGATGCCAAAGAGCTCCATTTTGGTCTCATCTGACCACAACACTTTCACCCAGTTCTCCTCTGAATCCTTCAGATGTTCATTGGCAAACTTCAGACGGGCATGTATATGTGCTTTCTTGAGCAGGGGGACCTTGCGGGCGCTGCAGGATTTCAGTCCTTCACGGCGTAGTGTGTTACCAATTGTTTTCATGGTGACTATGGTCCCAGCTGCCTTGAGATCATTGACAAGATCCTCCCGTGTAGTTCTGGGCTGATTCCTCACCGTTCTCATGATCATTGCAACTCCATGAGGTGAGATCTTGCATGGAGCCCCAGGCCGAGGGAGATTGACAGTTATTTTGTGTTTCTTCCATTTGCGAATAATCGCACCAACTGTTGTCACCTTCTCACCAAGCTGCTTGACGATGGTCTTGTAGCCCATTCCAGCCTTGTGTAGGTCTACAATCTTGTCCCTGACATCCTTGGAGAGCTCTTTTGTCTTGGCCATGGTGGAGAGTTTGGAATCTGATTGATTGATTGCTTCTGTGGACAGGTGTCTTTTATACAGGTAACAAACTGAGATTAGGAGCACTCCCTTTAAGAGTGTGCTCCTAATCTCAGCTCGTTACCTGTATAAAATACACCTGGGAGCCAGAAATCTTTCTGATTGAGAGGGGGTCAAATACTTATTTCCCTCATTAAAATGCAAATCAATTTATAACATTTTTGACATGCGTTTTTCTGAATTTTGTTGTTGTTATTCTGTCTCTCACTGTTCAAATAAACCTACCATTAAAATTATAGACTGATCATTTCTTTGTCAGTGGGCAAACGTACAAAATCAGCAGGGGATCAAATACTTTTTTCCCTCACTGTATATCTGAACCTATGGGGTGACTGGTATCCTCGAGGTTAGAGCGTTGGGCCAGTAACCAAAAGGTCACTGGTTTGAATCCCAGAGCCGACAAGGTGAAAAATCTGTCGCTTTGTCCTTGAGCAAGGTACTTAACCTCAATTTCTCCAGGGATGCTGGACAATGGTGACCCTGGCAGTGTCTCAGGGCCAGTTTGGATATGCAAGAAACACATTTCCATGACACACTTGTACAAGAAACACCCACAAGTGTGTAACAGGACAAATATAAGCACCCCCCAAATTAATAATCATTCTTACCTCTTTGTATGTGTGTCTGAAACTCTGTCTGTGTGTGTCCTCAGCCCAAAGGGCCCCTCCAGACCAATCTAAAGGGCCACGCCAACAGTCTCCGGCAGATCCACAGTCAGCTGGTCATCCCTATGGAGCAGGCCATGGTAATCAACTATCTATCTTCAATCATTCTTTTTTAGGTTAACATCCATGTCTGGGCCCATCAGTGCTCAGCTTCACTGGACTGGCAGAAATGGCCATGGCCGTAGTCATGATCTACCCTCTTAGAAGAAAAGGAGCTATATCTAGAACCTAAAAGGGTTCTTCAGCTGTCCTCATAAGAGAACCCTTTGAAGAACCCTTTTTCCCAAGAGTGTACTGTGTGTGTATGTGTGTGTGTATGTATATATGTATGTATGTATGTATGTATGTATGTATGTATGTATGTATGTGTGTGTGTGTGTGTGTGTGTGTGTGTGTGTATGTGTGTATGTTCTCAGAACTCTACATGTGGGAGGAATTTGACACGTCATTGCCAGACGTTGATACAACCTCAGTGAAGCTTTCCTCTCTCCAACGTCTGTATTGACTATCACCCAAAGCCTCTAGAATATAGAGCTAGACCAGGGCTCTCCAACCCTGATCCTGGAGAGATACTCTCCTGTAGGTTTAAACTCCAACCCTGTTCCTGGAGAGATACTCTCCTGTAGGTTTTAACTCCAACCCTGTTCCTGGAGAGATACTCTCCTGTAGGTTTTAACTCCAACCGTGTTCCTGGAGAGATAACCTCCTGTAGGTTTTAACTCCAACCTCAGTTGTAACTAACCTGATTCAGCTTATCAAGCAGCTAATTATTAGAATCAGGTGTGCTAGATTAGGGTTGGAGTTAAAACCTACAGGAGGGTTGCTATCCAGGAACAGGGTCGGAGGTCAAACCTACAGGAGGGTTTCTCTCCAGGAACAGGGTTGGAGTTAAAACCTACAGGAGGGTATTTCTCCAGGAACAGGGTTGGAGTTAAAACCTACAGGAGGCTAGATCTCCAGGAACCGGGTTGGAGTTAAAACCTACAGGAGGATCAGGGTTGGAGAGCCCTGAGCTAGAGAGACACATAGGTATTATTGACCTGCACGAATCAGACCTGGGTCAAACAATTAAGTCTGATCATTTCAAATAGTTGAAAATGTGTGCGGTGCGCTTGATTTATTTGTGTTTTTTGGGAGTACATATAACATTGGTTTGCACTTTTGGGACTATTCCATTGGTTGCATTGTACCGGGCAAACCAAACCAAGTGCAGCACATCTGACATATGTATTTGACCCAGGTATCAATTGTTGTGCAGTCAAACAATAGAACCCTGAAAAGGCTAGGATATTGAAGTAGCTGACTGTTACATTCACCAGGGCAAATTAATCATATATTTTGCTATATCTCGCACCCGTATTTGGCTCTTTAAAAGGCCTCAACATATATACGCACATGACATCACAGTAGCTCCCATATGTGTTTCTCCCAAAATACCACAATATCCCCATACATTTTGAAGTCATTCTTATTACGAAGAAATGCTGAGTTTTAGAGATCTATCTTATCTTTTTCTTTCTATATTTCCCCTTTAACTCTTCCGACTTTAATTAATGGCTGCCAAGAAATATGTTAGAGCGAGGGTAAGCATGTGTCTCCAAAATGGATCTGTGTCCGTCTTGTACTGTTGAGGCCGCTGCTCCATTCTCCCATCCTTCAAAGCTCATATTGACTTTTTATTTTCAAATGTCATTTTTATTTTTAAATGAAAGCCTATGCCTTGCTAATATCGATATCAAACGATATCGATATCATATCAAATTATCAGTATTGGTGCCCATCATTAGTTATGCAAGAGTTGTCCATGTTCCTTGTACCTCGAATCCAAGGGGCTTCCCTGGCATGCCGTGACCATTACCATGAACTTCCATTCTCTTTTAGGCCAGGGTAGAGGCTTATAAATGAGATTCGTTAGTACACCACGCTGATTCAGACCCGAATGACATGATTTTACAAAGTGCAAGATTGGGTCCTTTACAGGCCATGTAAAATAAATCAGTATTTGGGATCTGTGTGTAATTTGTTAATACTACAATAATCTGGTGCTGACTAATTACCATGTACATATACCAGCATGGAGTTGATCATTTGTCACATTTTCTATTTAAGCTACACCCGTTGCTGACAGGTGTATAAAAGCTCCATAGCATTGGCAGTAGAATAGCCTTACTGAAGAGCTCAGTGACTTTCAACGTGGCACCTTCATAGGATGCCAACTTTCCAACAAGTCAGTTCGTCAAATTTCTGCCCTGCTAGAGCTGCCCCGGTCAACTGTAAGTGCTGTTATTGTGAAGTGGAAACGTTTAGGAGCAACAATGGCTCAGCCGCCAAGTGCTAGGTCACACAAGCTCACAGAACGGACCACCGGGTGCTCAAGTGCGTAAGAATTGTCTGTCCTCGGTTGCAACACTCACTAACGAGTTCCAAACTGCCTCTGGAAGCAACGTCAGCACAAGAACTGTTTGTTGGGAGCTTCATGAAATTGGTTTCCATGTCAGAGCAGCCGCACACAATTCTAAGATCACCATGCGCAATGCCAAGCATCGGCTGGAGTAGTGTAATGGGCGGCGCACAATTGGCCCAGCGTCGTCCAGGGTAGGGGAGGGAATGGCCGGCAGGGATGTAGCTCAGTTGATAGAGCATGGCGTTTGCAACGCCAGGGTTGTGGGTTCGATTCCCACGGGGGGCCAGTATAAAAAAATATGTATTCACTAACTGTAAGTCGCTCTGGATAAGAGCGTCTGCTAAATGACTAAAATGTAAATGTAAATGTAAATGTGTAAAGCTCGCCGCCATTGGACTCTGGAGCAGTGGAAATGCTTTCTCTGGAGTGATGAATCACGCTACACCATCTGGCAGTCCGACGGACAAATCTGGGTTTGGCGGATGCCAGGATGACACTACCTGCCCGATGCATAATGCCAACTGTAAAGTTTGGTGGAGGAGGAATAATGTTCTGGGGCTGTTTTTCATGGTTCGGGCTAGGCCTCTTAGTTCCAGTGAAAGGAAATCTTAATGCTACAGCATACAATGACATTCTAGATGATTCTGTGCTTCCAACTTGGTGGCAACAGTTTGGTTAAGGCCCTTTCCTGTTTCAGCATGACAATGCCCCCGTGCACAAAGCAAGGTCCATACAGAAATGGTTTGTCGAGATCGGTGTGGAAGAACTAGACTGGCCTGCACAGAGCCCTAACCTCAACCCCATAGAACACCTTTTTGATAAATTGAAATGCCGACTGCGAGCCAGGCCTAATCGCCCAACATCAGTGCCCGACCTCACTAATGCTCTTGTGGCTGAATGGAAGCAAGTCCCTGCAGCAATGTTCCAACATCTAGTGGAAAGCCTAACCAGAAGAGTGGAGGCTGTTATAGCAGCAAAGTGCTATAACAGCCTCCATTAATGCCCATGATTTTGGAATGAGATGTTCGATGAGCAGGTATCCACATACTTTTGGTCATGTAGTGTATTTTGCAACACATTTCTCACGACCAAAATCCACATGAAATAGCCATTGTTGTTGTTGTAGTTTCATATGAAGCATTTTCCTCCCAGTGGGAACCATGTCGCTCTTCTTTCCCTATGTGTGATAAAAGTAGAACCGTATCTTCAAGCATCATGGTGATGCTTGTGCCTGTCTAGTCTCCCCTGTGTTTCAGTGGTGTGTGTTTTAGGGGTTATTACAGTCTCTAACCCATGACCTTTGACATCTGGGGTGTTAACTTGTGTTGTACATTTTCCCTTAAAAGAGTACGCTGAATCAGAGCATCAGACTACTCGAAAGGACTGCCTCAGACCTGCCGGTAAGTGGGCCTCCTACAAACCATGTACCCTAACAAGTCACACTGTCTCAATCAACATCAAGCATTCGTAATGCATGCATAAACACTGAATAAAGACTACGTAACATCTCCATAGACTGTTATGAAAGCATCTTGAGCATTCTTCTGCTCTGTCTTGTCCAGAACAAAATCACTGATGTGCTGAAGACCATCGAAGCGGCCCAGTATCTCATCTCCCAGAATGCCACACATGTCGTCAACCAGGTGATTAAGATGGCTTCCCAATCATTGTTTACATTTCAATGCTAGGATATAACTCAGTAGCTAACATATTATCCCTCTTTCCATTAGGAAACAGAAAAGTACAAGCAAACCATTGTTGGTTACTTCAGGCAATACAAAGAGTGGGTCAGGACCTCCGTAAGTATTTGTGTCCCAACAGTTTGTTAATGCCTATTACAGTTCTTATATTAGAATTATGACGTAGAAGGTAAACCTGTGTTAGCTCCCAAACTATGTTGACATACAGCTTATCAACTTCTCATTCTCTGAGAATGTTAAGACTTTTGGGTCTAAATATAGAAAGAACACAAATGGAAACCAACTTTGGAATTTCCTCTGTGAACCTTGAACCTTGTTTTCCCTGTGAGCCTTGAACCTTGTTTTTCCCTGTGAGCCTTGAGCCTTGTTTTTTCCATGTACCCTTGAACCTCATTTTCCCCTGTGAGCCTTAAACCTTGTTTTCCCTGTGACCCTTGAACCTTATTTTCCCGTTCACCCTTGAACCTTGTTTTCCCTGTTACTCTTGAACCTTGTTTTCCCCTGTGATCCTTGAACCTTGTTTTCCCCTGTTATCCTTGAACCTTGTTTTCCCCTGTGAGCCTTGAACCTTGTTTTTTTTATGTTACCCTTGGACCTCGTTTTCCCTGTTACCCTTGAACCTAATTTTCCCCTGTGAGCCTTAAACCTTGTTTTCCCTGTGACCCCTGAACCTTGTTTTCCCTGTGACCCTTGAACCTTATTTTCCCGTTAACCCTTGAACCTTGTTTTCCCTGTTACTCTTCAACCTTGTTTTCCCCTGTGAGCCTTGAACCTTATTTTCCCCTGTGAGCCTTGAACCTTATTTTCCCCTGTGAGCCTTGCACTTTGTTTTCCCCTGTGAGCCTTGAACCTTGTTTTTCCCTGTGAGCCTTGAACCTTGTTTTCCCTGTGAGCCTTGAACCCTGTAGCATAAGGAGGACATTAGATAAAGCAGTACTGAGTACTGGTAAATTACTGTTGTACTGTTTGAACACACTGCTTTTCAGTGTGCCAAAAGTAACAGCTCTGCTGACTTGTTTGCAATCAACTTAGTCATCAATCGTACATGTGTAAAGCTATAAAATCCCTTAATTTTCCAGAAATTCCAACCGACAACTTTCCTAATTGTTTGCCAATGGTATAACTGTAACAGTTGCCCTTTGTCTGCATGGTTTACCCAGCTGACCATGGAGGTAGCAGCCTGCAAACCCTTCAGCAACATCGTGGACACAGTGGAGATCGTAGCCTGCAGCTTCTTGGTCGACTCGTTGGTAACAAAAATGCAATATAAAGGCTCCTTTGAAAACATGCCTGAAACATCAGTTGGGCAGTTGGGATACAGACAGGGAGGCAGGCAGGAAGGGGTGAGGGGGGATTGGTCTCTGGAGAAGTATCACATGTTACTATACCGGAACACAATGTTCACACAGCCATGTGCATTCTACCGGCATGGATTCACACAGCCCCCTCAGTGTTCACCTCCAAAACCCGCTAGCCCCCAAGGCCCGGAAGACAGGGCGGGGTTCTTTCTGAGGGCCCCAGGTTTTAGCGTCCGCTAATGGCTTGATATATGTGAAGGCTCAGGCGAGGTACAAGGACTGTGTGTAAGGTGAAGGTTCTGCAATGGAGATGGGTGGGGGTAGGGAGTTTGGGGGCCCCGTGTAGCTCAGTTGGTAGAGCATGGCGCTTGCAACGCCAGGGTTGTGGGTTCGATTCCCACGGGGGGCCAGTATGAAGAAAAAGTATATATATATGCACTCACTAACTGTAAGTTGCTCTGGATAAGAGCGTCTGCTAAATGACTAAAATGTAAAACACACCTCACCCCCTCCAATCACACACACCTACACACATTACCCCCTCCAATCACACACACCTACACACATTACCCCCTCCAATCACACACACCTACACACATTCCCCCCTCCAATCACACACACCTACACCATTACCCCCTCCAATCACACACACCCTACACACATTACCCCCTCCAATCACACACCCCCTACACACATTACCCCCTACCAAATCAACCACCTACCACCACCTACCACACCTCACCCCCTCCAATCACACCACACCTACACACATTACCCCCCCAATCACCACACTACACACCCCCTCACACACCCCTCCAATCACACACACCTACCACCTTACCCCCTCCAATCACACACACCTACACACCTCACCCCCTCCAATCACACACACCTACACACATTACCCCCCTCCAATCACACACACCTACACACCTCACCCCACTTCAATCACACACACCTACACACATTACCCCCTCCAATCACACACACCTACACACCTCACCCCCTCAATCACACACACCTACACACATTACCCCCTCCAATCACACCACACCTACACACCAACCCACTTCAATCGCTATTTAAATTACATAGTCAGGCTGGATCCAGCACAGATCGTGAATATGTTGACCTGGCAAACCCTTATGGGGATTCACCCAGACAAGGCCGTGCTCACCAGATGGAGCTACAGAGAAAACATAAACCACCAGCCTTCATACACCCCACACCTGTCCGTCGCATGGCCACTAACTAAACTACCCCTCCCAATCAGAAGCACTACTCCTACCCACTCAATGAAGACACACACAACTAGCCCCCATTAAGCCTCCTAAGCCATACCCCTAATTGATTAGATGTAACAGTCATGCTCTGGAATCCGCACATGATCAGTAGAGTAGTTAGACCTGTCACGCCGTGGGGTCATTCAAATGGGCTGCAGTAGACTGATGGAGAAGAATAAACCAGCCTTACTTCCACATCTTCGGTCGGCATGGGGGGCCTGTACAAACCTCCAATGGCAGTGATCTTCTCCTATAATGGAACATAGACTGTAGAGCTCATAGTTCCACGCAGCTAATTATTGACTGGACTAGATGTTCATGGTAACACTGCACCGACCAGTGTTTCTCATGTCATTTAGATGGACTTTAGCTAACATGAGACAAGTAAAGCTGTGACTTGACCTAGGGTTAGAACAAATGTCATGACAGTTGTTTTCCAAACATGACTGGGGCTGTTACACGCTGTTATGTCATGGCTATGATGACTTCATGTAGACTTTACGACTCAGTGGTTTCCCCATTTAGAGCTGGCTAAACTTCCCCCTCTACACAAACATGCAAAGTCACACACAGGTACACACTGCAGACATTGGTGTCCAAAATGATGGGAAGTCCTTTATGAAAGCTAATTCTACAGGGCTGAGAATTGTACGCAGTGTATGGTGCTATACTTCATACCTAACGCTCCAGTGTTGAAAAGTTACCCAGTAATGAAATATGACATGAATGATATGTTAACATTTTGTTCTACCTAACAATTGCTATACTTTATATCATAAACCAGTAGACCTTATGTCTTAATCATGTATTCAACTTTGTGGTGGGGGTAAATCTAAAGAGAACATGAAGCGAACCCAGGGTTGCTTTATGCCTGGATATCAGATCCACTGACACCGCATTCTCTTTGTTTTCTCTGTCTCTCAGAACACATTCTGGTTTGGCCTAGGCTGCTGTGCCCTATTCCTCCTTCCTAGCATCATCCTGTCAGTAAAACTGGCAAAGTTCTACCGTAGAATGGACACAGAGGATGTTTACGATGAGTGAGTATCTCTACTCCACTTTGAATATTATGCCATCACAAATAGTTTGTCATATCTGTAAAGAACCCTTTGATCATCCTCTTAATTCAACTATAGCTGAGGTTTGGAAGTCTCCTGCTGTTAATTTGTAGTGCAACCCAGCGATTAGTTTGACGTATGGTGATCCTTATTACAGCCTTTTTCCCTGCCATTGGCCCACTCCACCTAGCACTTTTCCCCTGCCTATTTGGTTAAAGAGGCCATACAGTTGATTTGAGGGCCTTTGCACCCCACCTGGAAAATAATCTAGGGCAAACACTGCTTTTTTAGACCGTTATTATACATATTAAAGAGACTGTAATGGGGAGGAGTCAGGATTACAACGTGGTAATTAACACAATTTGATTCAGTCCCACAACCGACAAGTTAAATATGAGGTTATAGAATTGCTTCTGTGCTGTGGTGCTAGCTACTCCTTTCTTTCTTGTTTACTATCTTTTTCCCCTCTTCTGTCTATTGCAATACAGTAGCAGTAACTTAGTAGTACATAGTAGTAACTTAGTAGTAAGTAGTATTAATAGGAGTAGCAAGTTAAAGTAACTTAACTCTTTCTACTGCTTCATTCTCTCTCTCTCTTCCCTTGCAGTTCATCTGTTTCTGGGACTTGGCATTTTACTTTGTGATAACCATTCCTACTATTTCCATCTTCTTCCATCCTTATTTTTCATTTAATTTCTCTCTGTCAAGCACTTTGCACTTTAAGAAAACAAACAGCGTATTAAGAGTTGTGGAATACTATTCATATTGTTTTATGCATCCTTCAGTCGCCCTCGCCTCGCCCATGCACTTACAGTAGTGAAAAAATGCAATAGACAAGTCACCAAGTGTCTTGATCAATGACGTGTATCGATGTCATCTGATCAGTACTATTGTGCCCAAAGCCTTCTGGTGCATTTCTATTGCAGAGCATTTCATTAACATTTTTGCTTTTTTTATATCTTTGTAGCATTGAGACAATTCCCATGAAAACGTAAGATTCATTTTACCCATTTTACCTCTCCTTTCTCCTTCCAGTATAACTAACTCATTGGTACATCTGCGCTTTTCTGTGGATTTTGTACATAGATTTCATTGCTGATTTCTTGGTGCAGGTTTTATGTTTTTAGGTATGAAATGCATCTCTTGGTTGATCATTTTGGATTTCCTTTGTGTGCAATCTTGAAGAAATGCCCCTTGTTGATGATTAAGGGCTCTTACAATCATTATCTTACAAAAGCAAAAGTCCACCTCTGTTTTTGTAAGTTAAGATGTAAGATAATTTTATACGTTCACGGCTTTCTATATGGAAACATTTGTTTGTGTCTAGAATCCTACTCCTATTTAGAGAGGTTGATAGCATGCCATGTCCCTCACCTCATATTTTTTTTGTATACAATGTTTTGTTTCAGTATGGAAATTGGTAATAATGGTTATCATAATGAGTGTTTACAAGGTATCCAAAACCCTGTAATGACAAGGTAAATTAAATATAAAGCAGGCCATGTTTCAGGGAGGGACGGGTGCAGGGGCGGCATGTTGGCCTAGGGGCAGTCAGTCACTCAGGGGGTGGTTAAAAAAGGTGGATGGGACACTGCATGCCCTAGGGCGTTGGCTAGCCCCTCAGACACATCTGGAGGTCAGCTGGACTCTTTCTGCTTTGCTGGTTGCGGCTCCAGCATTGGGAGGTTGTGAGCAAGATAGCTAGGCCACTGTTTAAGCATGTGTGTTTTGGGTTTGGCATGATCTTTGGAGCATTACTAACTTACCCACTGCATGCTCTGTGCACGATGACTTGATCAAGTGAAATGAAATTCCTTGCATGTCTCCTCTTCTTTAGAATTGGGCAAACTGCTGTGAATGTACACGTGATACTTTTGGTCAAATAGAGGCAGAAAGAGAGGCAAGCATGTCTGCTTTGGTGTGGTACTACTGAGACAACTGCTCATGTGACTAACTTCTTCTAACAACGTCTAACAGCATGGTTTTCATTGAAATGTACAACAGGCATGTCTTTGGACAGCCAAAATGTTTGAACGATAACAGTGTCTAGACACAGAGAGCATCTCCACAGAATGATTGATACGGGAAAATAACAATAACGAACCTGCCACCTAGGGCTTGTCTTATTACAACCAACCCAATAATCAGCAATTCACCATGGTTGGCTTATCTTATTACAACCGACCCAATAATCAGCAATTCACCATGGTTGGCTTATCTTATTACAACCGACCCAATAATCAGCAATTCACCGTGGTTGGCTTGTCTTATTACAACCGACCCAATAATCAGCAATTCACAGTGGTTGGCTTGTCTTATTACAACCGACCCAATAATCAGCAATTCACGTGGTTGGCTTGTCTTATTACAACCGACCCAATAATCAGCAATTCACAGTGGTTGTCTTGTCTTATTACAACTGACCCAATAATCAATAATTCACCATGGTTGGCTTGTCTTATTACAACCGACCCAATAATCAGCAATTCACCATGGTTGGCTTGTCTCTAAAAGTCAATAGAAAATCAGTTTGGATAGAGTGGTTATTATTTCTCCAGTTCAGTGCATGTGCAGCACGTGTATGGTGACTGCATACATTCACCTTGGCATCATTCCATCCCTGGTTGGCCTCAAGCCCTCAGCAAGTGTCGATGGAGTGGCTCTGCTCTCTGTGTCTTGGGAAACTCCTGCCCGTTGCTCTCGTCAAGTGAAGGACCTGGAAGCGAGAGGCAGGGCCTAACAAAATGGTTGACCCTTGAATGTTCCCTTTTCCTGCCATTGATGTTGTCCCCCATCTCTGTACCCCTGTGCCTCTAGCATCCCTGCCTATGACACTATGACTAGGTTCCCACGGGCATCAGCTCCCCCTAGGCATATCGACTGGTGAGAGAAGGCCGGGCTTTTTGACCGGCTCCAGAAAGGTACTGAGAACCACTGATCACTGGGACGATGTCTCTCCGTCCGCCTCCTCAGCATTATCCTCCCTTCCTTGTTCTCTCTTCAACCTGCTGTTTGTCTGCATACCATTGCCACTCTGAAAACCCTCCAGAGCTTCCACAGTCTCTTCTCTCTTATCTCATCCTTTGCTTGACACTATCTTTTTTTCTTCTTTAATTTTCTTATGCTACCCCCATTTTCACAGCTTGTTTTAGCGCTTGCATGTCTGCTTCACTGACTTTGCAGAAAGTCTTCACGGTGAGGATTGCTGTTTTTGGAATCACTTATAAACCCTAAACTGTATATGGTTTGATGGTATTTGTGTCTAACCACTTGTAACTGCTCTGTAAATTTACTGTAGACCAGACCCGCTGTGTGTGTTTGCTATTCTGTGCTAGTCTCACTTCTCTCATTTCAAAACTCACATTTCATTGCTTTAATTTCTCCCTTGAGGCTCTCATTGGCAAAAGCAATAAGCTTCTGAATTATCCAATTAAATGTGATGCAATTAAATGTCAATCTTTTCTGATACAGTATCTTCTCTTCTACAGTGCCATCGGAAACTGGAACTGAAACATTAGATTGTAAGTTTCCACTATATGTTTTATATACTGTTACTCTTTTCTACGATCACTTTTAGCATAGAAATATGCCACGTTATTGGCTATCCGTGTAGAAATATACCACGTTATTGGCTATCCGTGTAAAAATATACCACGTTATTGGCTATCCGTGTAGAAATATACCACGTTATTGGCTATCCGTGTAGAAATATACCACGTTATTGGCTATCCGTGTAGAAATATACCACGTTATTGGCTATCCGTGTAGAAATATACCACGTTATTGGCTATCCGTGTAGAAATATACCACGTTATTGGCTATCTATGTAGAAATATAACCCGTTATTGGCTATCCGTGTAGAAATATACCACGTTATTGGCTATCCATGTAGAAATATACCACATTATTGGCTCTCCATGTACAAATATACCATGTTATTGGGTGGTTCGAGCACTGAATGCTGATTGGCTGACAGCCGTGGTAAATCAGACCCTATACCACGGGTATGACAAAACATTTATTTTTACTGCTCTAATTACGTTGGTAACCAGTTTATAATAGCAATAAGGCGTTGCGTCGTGCCTAAGAACAGCCCATAGCCGTGGTATATTGGCCATATACCACACCTCCTCGGGCCTTATTGCTTAAATATACCACGTTATTGGCTATCCATGTAGACTATTTTACATCAGTGCATTATTACTCAGTGTTGAATTATATTTCATCAATTTTTAGGACCCCATCCACTTCCCACCCCTTGAACAAGACAAAGCTCCGAAAAGATGTCCTTACCTGCAGAAGAAGCCCCTAACAAGAAGCTGATGTCTTCTGTGTGTGTTCACCTGGCCCTCTCTTCCTCTATCTCCACGGATCTATTTACTGACAACATCCTCCTGCCCAGTCACAACCTCTTCTGGATATCCGCTGTCCAATAGGACCCCCTCAGACACTACACAAGGTGCTGTCATCAACTCTTCCTTTGATTTTCCCTGGGGAACAATAAGGAAGTGTACATCTGAGACAGTGTCGGTTGACCTTCATCCTTCACCACACACAGCTGTCTGTTGTGCCTGTGTTTACATTAGTCTGAGCCGAGGCTGAGTTCAAACTGCAGACACAACAACAGTTCAGAGGGCTGTGTACTCTCAAACCTTTTGTACTTCTTCTGTGTTTTGTAAAAAGCGACTGAAAAGGTATTTGAAAGGTCATGTAGGGCTGATATGAGAACATTGCCATTTCTGCTCATAGTTGAATGATGTTTTACTAACTGATGGGGAGAGCTGTTTGAAACACAGCCTCGGTGTAGAAACAGACTTAATGGTCGTGGATCGTAGGCCTATATGTTTGTGCTTGAATAATATAAGGACAATCACAAAATAGCATGACTTTTGTATGTTTGCAACATTAGAAGACAGACAGAGGTTGTTATCCATGCTGAGGCATACTGATGGTTGACTATTAGACCTGTTTTACCATAGCATTTTGACTGATGACCGCCATTTTGTAAGATATGAGGAAATATCTCATATCAGTGCATAACAGGTGGAATATCACATGAACCTGGACAGAAATGTCAGGAGACTATAACATTCCTTATTTCATTAATTGATTAACAATAATGCATAATAATCAATATGTTTTTTAGGCTATTGTAGTGGTCAAACATTAAAGTGGAGAACTGCTATTTGACGCCAAATCCTATTCTTACTGTAGGTCTCAGGTCTTTAGTTGTTTAACAGTTATGCATAATATATTGTTTCAATATTATTATTTTTCATCCCACAATAGCTATTGGTACCTATGGAACTATGGAAGGGTAAATGTATTGAAGAGTTGTTTGTATATAAGAGATGTATTGCTTAAAGTGAATGATGACACCTGTGTGGATTATGCTGAAAAACATTAACATACTGTACTGTACATGCCACCCCGATAATATCACCCATCTGTTCTCACTTGTTTACAGGTTATGTTCCTTCTCCCCCACTGTCTGCCTCATAAAGATGGGGGTCATTAGCCTACTTAACTACCATGTGCTGTCAATCAAATGGCATTAAGCCAGTAGAGGCTTGTTGATGAGAGGAGTGAGGACTTCTTATTGGTTTGCATAACTGATCCTGCTCATTGAGTCTCTGACGGAAGCTTCACTTCCCAATAACTATTACTTAAGTACATGCCTGTAGACTGCTTACCTTTGTATGATTATTACATCACACGCTATTTTACTGAGTGCTTAAGACAGACATTTTGTATGCACCATCTGGTTAGATAGTGGGTGCAATGTTTACTGGTTGTTTTAAGGGTAAAACTGTAATGTTGCCACTGGACAGTGGGGCACTGGTGGTGCCCATTGGATATGAGTGTCCATGATGGTTATCTGAAAGTGTATAAATTGTGAATAAAACATTCCATTTCATTATTGTACACAGTTATTTTTAACAATGTATCTCACCAAGTGACCGCTGGAGAAACCAAACCTTCTCGAATTGAAAAGACACAGGTTGCGGGAAGTGTTTTCAAGGGCAAGCGGTCTCCTATTTTGGACACCATGTCCTTTGTCTTATGTAAAATGTTATCTACACATGATCAGGAACATTTGACATGAGACAGTGGGCTTACACGTTTTAGATATTACCAAAAGACCACAGTCTTATATGTTTCCATTGTCAGATATAGAACATGCCGTACTCCATTATGTACCCGCTATTTTGCAAAGAAGATAATCATCTTTTGCAATGGGCTAGGAGGACCTGAAGTTTTTCACAATCATTTAGCACCCATACCCACATCTGTGAAGTCCAGATGTACATTTTCTAGCCCACACATACCACATGACAACTTATTCCTCACCCTAAATGTGCAACTGGTTAAAGAAGAACATTGGGTAATGCGTTTACACTTTAGAGGGAGTCATTGGATACTTTCAAGCTGATTCTATTTAAAATCTTAGAGAATTGTATTTCGATTCTTAACCGTACAGTGAGGGGAAAAAAGTATTTGATCCCCTGCTGATTTTGTACGTTTGCCCACTGACAAAGAAATTATCAGTCTATAATTTTAATGGTAGGTTTATTTGAACAGTGAGAGACAGAATAACAACAACAAAATCCAGAAAAACGCATGTCAAAAATGTTATAAATTGATTTGCATTTTAATGAGGGAAATAAGTATTTGGCCCCCTCTCAATCAGAAAGATTTCTGGCTCCCAGGTGTCTTTTATACAGGTAACGAGCTGAGATTAGGAGCACACTCTTAAAGGGAGTGCTCCTAATCTCAGTTTGTTACCTGTATAAAAGACACCTGTCCACAGAAGCAATCAATCAATCAGATTCCAAACTCTCCACCATGGCCAAGACCAAAGAGCTCTCCAAGGATGTCAGGGACAAGATTGTAGACCTACACAAGGCTGGAATGGGCTACAAGACCATCGCCAAGCAGCTTGGTGAGAAGGTGACAACAGTTGGTGCGATTATTCGCAAATGGAAGAAACACAAAATAACTGTCAATCTCCCTCGGCCTGGGGCTCCATGCAAGATCTCACCTCGTGGAGTTGCAATGATCATGAGAACGGTGAGGAATCAGCCCAGAACTACACGGGAGGATCTTGTCAATGATCTCAAGGCAGCTGGGAACATAGTCACCAAGAAAACAATAACACACTATGCCATGAAGGACTGAAATCCTGCAGCGCCCGCAAGGTCCCCCTGCTCAAGAAAGCACATATACAGGCCTGTATACCTGTATAAAAGACACCTGGGGGCCAGAAATCTTTCTGATTGAGAGGGGGTCAAATACTTATTTCCCTCATTAAAATGCAAATCAATTTATAACATTTTTGACATGTGTTTTTCTGGATTTTTTTGTTGTTATTCTGTCTCTCACTGTTAAAATAAACCTACCATTAAAATTATAGACTGATAATTTCTTTGTCAGTGGGCAAACGTACAAAATCAGCAGGGGATCAAATACTTTTTTCCCTCACTGTACATGCCCGTCTGAAGTTTGCCAATGAACATCTGAATGATTCAGAGGAGAACTGGGTGAAAGTGTTGTGGTCAGATGAGACCAAAATGGAGCTCTTTGGCATCAACTCAACTCGCCGTGTTTGGAGGAGGAGGAATGCTGCCTATGATCCCAAGAACACCATCCCCACTGTCAAACATGGAGGTGGAAACATTATGCTTTGGGGGTGTTTTTCTGCTAAGGGGACAGGACAACTTCACCGCATCAAAGGGACGATGGACGGGGCCATGTACCGTCAAATCTTGGGTGAGAACCTCCTTTCCCTCAGCCAGGGCATTGAAAATGGGTCGTGGATGGGTATTCCAGCATGACAATGACCCAAAACACACGGCCAAGGCAACAAAGGAGTGGCTCAAGAAGAAGCACATTAAGGTCCTGGAGTGGCCTAGCCAGTCTCCAGACCTTAATCCCATAGAAAATCTGTGGAGGGAGCTGAAGGTTTCGAGTGCCCAAACGTCAGGCTCGAAACCTTAATGACTTGGAGAAGATCTGCAAAGAGGAGTGGGACAAAATCCCTCCTGAGATGTGTGCAAACCTGGTGGCCAACTACAAGAAACGTCTGACCACTGTGATTGCCAACAAGGGTTTTGCCACCAAGTACTAAGTCATGTTTTGCAGAGGGGTCAAATACTTATTTCCCTCATTAAAATGCAACTCAATTTATAACATTTTTTGACATGCGTTTTTCTGGATTTTTTTGTTGTTATTCTGTCTCTCACTGTTCAAATAAACCTACCATTAAAATTATAGACTGATCATTTCTTTGTCAGTTGGCAAACGTACAAAATCAGCAGGGGATCAAATACTTTTTTCCCTCACTGTAGCTAGGGTTGCAAAGCTACTGGTAATTTACGAAAGTTACTGGAATCTTCTATAATTTTGGTAATTAAGAGAAAATCTATGGTAATTTATCGTAACTTTGGTAATTTATACTTGAATTACTTAAAAAAAATGTATTTATATATAGTATTCTTTTTTTTATATGTGTCCATATTGTCCATGAGTTTCTAGTAGAGACCATATTGTTCAAGAGAAAATAGCCTGATTAATGAAGAAAGCATCTAATCAACAATGGCATTATTTTCAATTCACTTTGCAACTCTTTCAACCAGCCACTTTTCTTCACAACTGCCACCAGTTTGACACAAACATTGACAACAAATACATATTGAAATAGTAAAATAAATAAAAGTGTGTAAAAAATTAAGTAAAGTATATTTCATGCTGAAACCCTCATATTTAACAGAAATTGTATTCCGTTAGTTGATGGTTTATATTTAGGATAATGTTTACAGCTCGTTACATTTATTAATTTTGTATCATCTTATTTCATTATTTCATAGATTTTAGATGTGATAAGGCCACGCATAGGTCCAGAGATAATGACAGACACGTGTGATCATCTGAAGGACCCAAAAGAGCCACTAGATGTATTGTGATAGATAAAAACCTTGAAAGATACCAAAATTCTGGTAGTTTACTGGTAAACTTAGAAAGATTCCAGTAATATACCCTCCCTTTGCAACCCTAACCATAGTTCATCGTTCCTCAGGCTGTCTGCAGTGATTTTGGTTCACCACCTTTGCAATTCTTTGCACTCCCTGCAAAGCATCTGTAGCCATTGATATGCACAGGGAGAGAGTGGGATGGATAAATGCCTGGCCCCTCGTTTGGCTTGCGGCCACAGTGTGTGATTCCTTTGATTCCACAAAGTGAAGCGAACCTGCTCCGGATGTTTACATTACAGATTCCGCGTCACTCACAAGGAGCCCTTTCTCCCCCGTTAGGATTGATTGCTAGGAAAATAAAGCTGAAAGAGGCATGTGCTGCTACCTCCTTCCTATGTCACAGACACACACACACACTCGCTGAACAGCCATTTTACATACATGCCGTGTCTCAAGTCAGCAACTCTATTATGGGTTATTCTTGTTCTTTCTTAATTAGCACAGTAATTACTTCCTGTGTGACAAGCTAGATTGGCCTACCACCACCCACGTGCATATTTGTTTGGAACTTCTTGGATTTCGTTCCTCAAGTTTCTCCCCTGTCTCCAGTTTCAGATTTTATTGTGTTTATGTTTGGAAGGAAATTATAGGCTGTGATGTATGGTTGTAAACCTCAACTACCTTTAAAACAGCAGTGAACCTTGAACAGTTCAACATGTCCTTGCAGGATAGCATTTTAAGACACATTGTGGTATTGAGTTGAACAGTATCTAAAACTAAGGGGAAAAAATTGGCATGGTGAACTATTAAAGTGGCGTGGTGAACAATTCGATAAATGTTATGTTGGCATCAGTGCGCCAAGCTTCTCAAAATGAATGGCAGTCTGGGGAATTGTTCTCAAGTGATAAAGTCCACAAAGTCGTGCTTGACATATTTCTCAATGAAACATTTGTAGTTGTTATATGTATGTTATATAACACCTGGTTAAACGTGTGGGAATCAATGTTGTCGGCCTATTTTGCTTTATCCAAATTGGTTTGCATGTGGCCCTGGCTTTCATTGACAGTCCCTAGACAACCATAAATTATAGTCACATTGCAGAGGGGGGCACTACTCTCTTCCCCTCTTCAGGAGGGCTCTTGTAACCCAGGCTTTTTTTCACCTGAATGCCCTCTTTGTGTGCAAATCCCATAAATAGCAAGAGGGACCCTCAGCTTCTGCAGTCCCACTCTCACTCCCTCTCTCACACTCAAGCATCTGGCATAACCATGTTGACTCGGGCCAGCGCACTGCTGCTCCTCGCCTGCTGCCTCTGGGCAGTGGAGGGACAGAATGAGAATGGCAACACGAGGGCAGACAATGGTGGTGCTACTGCTGCTGCAGAGAACAGTAAGAGTGTCTGGGAGGACCCCATCCAGTTCAACAACAAGGCAAAGGACTTCTGCACCATGAGCGTCACCGGCCAGGGAAATGTCACCAGGCTGAGGATATCATGCCAGGGTGCCGAGAGAACCTACTGGTGCGAGTACACGGGCAAGCCCCAGATGTGCCGTCCCTACAACAACAACCCTCACCACTATTTCACCCAGATCATGTGGGACCTGAGGAAACTCCAGAACGCCTGCCAGGCACCTAAGGCTATCAAGCCTCAAATGTGCAAGAGGGCACCGGAAGACGCCCAGATGGTGTTCTCCGCTTCCTCCACACCAGAGGCCGCACCAGCAGCAATCCCCCAAAAGCCGGAGAAAGCCCAAGAGTCAACCCTGGCAAAACCAGAGACCCCCAAGGTACCCATCACCAAGCAGACTAAGCCAGCCGCAACCAAGCCTGAAGCTAAACCAGTAAGACCACAGCAGGCAAGAGCAGAGCACGCTAAACCAGAGCAGGCAAAACCAGAGAAAGCCAGACCAGAGCCAGCAAAACCAGAAGTAAGACCAGCACCTACAAAACCTGAAAAAGCCAGAACAGAAGCAAGACCAGCACCTACAAAGCCACTGCAATCCAGACCTGAGCAGGCAAATCCAGCAGCCGCAAAACCAGCAGCTGCAAAACCAGCAGGAGCAAAACCAGCAGGAGCAAAACCAGTCAAACCAGCAGTGAACAAGACACCTGTACTAAAAAAGCTTCTGACCCCCAAACCAACCGCTCCGAAACCAACCAAGCCCACTGTCAAGAGCAATGCCAAACAGCTGGCACAAGAGTATTGTTGGCGGTCACTCCAAGGCATCTGTTCCTACGTCATTGATTGGTTTCAGAACTAATAATGAAGGTGAGTTGAAAAAGTTGGCTGTGGATATTTTCTTAATTGTAGTCATAGCATTGTATATTATCATGATGATCATATGTATGAAAAAGTATGTCTGTCAATCAAATGTCTGAAATGAACTCCGGTCTGTAAAAAGTATAGTGAGTATTTTACTGAGTGTAGAAAATGTAAACCTATTCACTATATTTCCTGTTTCCCTGATTTAGATTCCTTTTGAAGATTACTTCAAAAGTCTGACTAAAGAGGTGCTCAGAGTGGTTTTCCAGAAAACGACTTTGATAAATGGTAGAAGAGAGTTCTAACACCCTCTTCGTGGGAATGATCGTGCTGACACTGCTGCCAATCAAACATCTTTCCAGCCAGCCATTTCACCATGATTTGTGCACTGTAATAAAAAAATCTAGTCGTTTAAACAAATTATTATTAAGTAACTGGTTCCACAGCCTTTTTTAGTTTACTGAACTTTTCGGTCCAAGTGTTACCTGAACAAACAAAAAAATAGTTGTCCCAAACTTAGCTCCAACTTTAGAAAACTCAGCAAAAATTCAGTCAATTTAAAATGATGTGTTTGCCTAACTTGTCTCATATGTTCATTCAACTATACATTATTTGTAAATCTTAACTAAAAAAGGCTGTGCAACTGGTTACACACACAGTGGTTTTAACATACATATCTGATGCACGTTGACATACATCATTACATTCTGCATGTTCATTTATACCGTAATTATTATTTAACATGTCCTCACCTGGGATTTGAACTCACAACCTCTTGGTTCATGGCATGCCAATCTTCCTGCTACACCATCATGTCTGTGTCAATTATCAGTTAATCTGACTTTTTTTCTCATCATTGATTTGACTTAGTTATTTCAGCAATTGTATGTTTTTCTGTATAGTTGTCTAATGTTGGTGGGGCATGTTACTCTGTTTTAAAGTTACTCCTTAATCACTATGATAAATAAAATATTTTTTCTAGAGTGTACTTTTAACAGAGCTGATATTTACTTACTGAAGTGCACCAATACAGGTGTAATCAGTCATTGACATGATGGCATAGCAGGAAGATTGGCATGCTGTGAACCAAGAGGTTATGAGTTCAAATCCCGGGTGAGGACATGTTGAATATGATTACTGCATAAATTAACATGCACAATGTAATCATGTGTGTCAGATATCTAAGTTGTTGTAACTAGTTCCACAGCCTTTTTTAGTTAAGATACCCAAATAATAATTTCTAGTTGAATGAACATATGAGACAATTTGAGCAAACACATCATCTTGAATTGATTAATTTTTGGCGACGTTTTCTCAAGTTGGAGCTAAGTTTGGGCCAACTAAACATTTTCTGTTCAGGTAACACTTTGACTAAACAATTTAGTAAACAAAAAAAAGCTGTGAAACCAGTTACTTAATAATAAATAGTTAAAACAACTACATTCTTTTTTACAGTGTGTATGAGTTGAATGTTCCATCGAGACCAATCCCAAAATCGTAATTCCAAGGGTCACATTGCCAGCTAAAAGCATCCATATCTGAATGTGTCGATCGGGTATGGACAGATAGTTAAATCCATCGTCATTTTCTTTTTTACAGTTTGGTTTTTGTATCAGACAAACCTATGGTACCATATAATGGACTCTCCTAAGGCAGATACGCCATTGGTTTTGCCTTTTTTGTATGTTTGTTTATCTGTATATGTATGTTTGTATCACCATAAACCATGTATTAAATATACTGTGTTGGGCAAATGCATAAGGTTGTGTCATTCACATAGTAGAGTGGCATATTTAGCTCTACCACTGGTTCATTGGACTGAAAGGTCACAATCATTATATGAATGTCGACATGTGTATGAAATGAATAAAGGTGTGTTCTTAATTCTTCTTAGTGTGTGTGTGTGTTCCTTAATGCCTTGCTTTAGGTTCAAAGCCTGTCTCTCCAAAACAATTTAATAGGTTTTTAAAGAAAATGTTTTCCTTTGTCTTAAATACAACCCTTTTAGAGGTGTAGTGTCTCTTTTTACCCAGTAAGTGACGCTGTTGTATCAACATCTTTAAAATACTTTTTTTTTCAATGACTGCCATCAATTCGTTGCTCACTGCACATTTACTAGAACAGTTAATGAGTGCATATACTATAACATTTAGAGAAAGGTCCTGAATGATTTTTACGAGTAATCAAATGTGTAGTTTCAGTCTGCAGGTTCTCACCTGTTTTAAGTGACAATAAGCTAAGTCATTTTTTGTTTTAGGCCTTATTAAGGACAAAAACGGAAGGACAAATGTAAACACAGATACCACCAAATAAACTCTGACAAACTGTGTTTGTGTTTGGTTTTACTATCCTTGTGGGGACCAGAAGTCCTCACAAGGATAGTAAAACAAGGAAAATTTGGACAAGTGGGGACATATCGCTTGGCCTCAAGAAAAAGGCCTATTTTCAGTTCAGGGGTTAGGTTTAGGGTTACAATTAGGGTTAGGGTTGCAATTAGAGTCGGGAGTTAGGGATTTGGGGTTAAGGTTATGGTTAGGTTAAGGGTTAGGTTTAGGGAAAATCAGATTTTGAATGGGAATCAATTGGTTGGTCCCCACAAGGATAGTAAAACAAACGTGTGTTTGTGTGTGTGTGTTTAGGCCCATGTTCCATGCCTGTGGCATGAGGGAATAGGGGGTGGTGGGTGTGTCGGTGCTGTATAAATGCCACATGCACGTTCCCCAGGTGTCATAACGGAATTGAACTATTTCCATCTTCCCAAATCCACAGGTGAGCTGACTAAAATAACCACTGTTATGTTGTGTTAAATATTATGTGCCATTATCCTCCATAAATCTTCTCTGCTGCCATGTTGTGACAGACTAAAGTACCAATTATTTGAAATTGGGGGGAATTGTAGGCCTACTGTACTAACATACACATCTATGCCATTTTAACAGATATTTTAGCGGGACATGGCGCTCCTTACCAACTTAGCCGTCTTGCTGGTTATTGCCTGCATATCTCAGCAGTTTATGGTGGCTAAATGTCAAGGATCCAAAAGAAGTGAGATGAAGAAAGAAAAAGAGGGACCAAAGGACAGAGAGCAACCAAAGCCCTCCGTCCCGTCTCCAGAGAAGAAAGACAGCAGACCCAGAGGAAAGGGTGTTTTCAAGGGCAAATTCTCCGCCAAAGACAAGACGCAGTGCACTTGGGTTGCGACAGGTGATGATGCCTTTGTGCTTGGCGTGAACTGCAAAAAAGGGGAAACAAGCTTCGACTGCAAATATGTGGCCAAACCAGCCACTTGCCCTGGGTACGAGTCCGACGCCAAAGCCTACTGGAAACAGATTGCGCGCGCTCTAAAGAAACAGAAGAAATTATGCTTGGACTCCACCGCTTTAATTAAAGCAGGTATGTGCAGAAAAGCTCCCAAGGACGCGCATTTCAAACTTAACAATACACCCAGAGATGTTGTTGTTCCAATGACTACCATTCAGACGCGTTCATCTCCTTCTGCCTCTCCATCGGGTGCCAAATCTTGCAAAATTGATCAGAAGAGACTGGCGGAAGAATATTGCGCGGGTTCGTGGTCGAGTTTGTGTAATTTCCTTTTCTCCATGGTCCAGAATGATGATTGTTGATGTAAAATAAATGAATTTACATGTCCTCACTCCCAATTGGTTGTCATAAACAAATGAATTAACACTTTTTGCTACTTCTCCTCATGAAGATGAATGCATTTTGATGGATTGTGAGGAGAACCTAGTTTAAAGACATATTATTGAGTACATTTACATGCACCCTACTAATTCGATATTTAACTGATTATGTTAGTAGGCATATTATGCAATAGTCACGTAAACCCCTTACTCTGTTTATCTTAGTCACCGTAAGGTCAAAATCTAAGTAAACATACGCCGATTAAAACACCTGGTTTTCTGAGCAATCTTTCGAATTATTAGGACATGTAAACACCTTTACTCGGTGTTCCAGCGGTGTATTTGATATGTGCATGTGCTAGCACCAGCCGAGCGAGCCTCCCTTTTTAACTGCGAGCGGAGTGTGTTTGGAACAACTGAATGTATGCATTTTAGAAGTACTTTTCACATACAAACTTTATACGTCCGAACTCAGAATCAAATATGCTTCCCAAAAATAAAATGTTCGCTGTGCTAGAACGTTTATTTTGATTGGCGATTTTCTGCATTTATCAGTGCCATCAGTTAGCCCTATTTCAGATGTGTCCATGTAAACAGGATTATTAGGGAAATCGTTCTTCTTGCAAAGCATGTATACGGTTTAATCGAACCATTATATTAATCTGACTATCCACAATAATCAGATTATTGTGTGCATGTAATCGCACTCATACCATCCATACCACGTTTCCCTTTGAAATGTTTTTGCCATGTGTTGTATTCATTGTAAAGCTACAGTAGCCTACTTAATAAATATTTTGTATACTATGTACTCAACTCTTCTCTTCATTTTATGTGCACTTGTAGTTGAATTATTTCTGCAGCTCTGTAGCATATTCTTTCTAGGAGGGTGGACAGGAGTTAGGCTATTATTCTTGTCAATGATGTATGTCGTTACTTATTCCTCATTATTTTCTAATGACTAAAGCTTATTATATGATTTACTACTACTTGGCAGACAGAGTGTTATTCCATACCACCCTGCAATGTACTCACTTATGCACGCATGCGCGCACACACACACCTGCTGTGCATACTCCACTGCATTTGCCAAAAGATAAGTAGTTTGAGCATGTTGGGTAATTACTCTGTAATTATACCAAGTCAGTTAGAGTGTTCCTTTAGAAGATTTATCATGCATTCCTTCACTGACTACTGGATTTTCATTGGCTTTCTCCAAGGTGAAATACAATTCACATGTTCTAAACACTAGTCAATGGCACTTAGCTATGCCTTTCATATACAACACTACAACAATACACAATCATGAGGTCTATGAAATTACATAACTGTGCTTGATAGCTAATGGATCTTTTTGATATAACTATAATGCTATTGCCGTCAGGCAATCAAGGGGAGTTACTTTGAATACATTTTTCTCTCCATTAATTGGATTTCAATCATTCTTTGAACTGAGAGGAATTTGAATGGAATGAACCCCAACCCTCTTCATTGACAATATAATTGACTCTTGAATGGTACTTTAGTCTTGGTCCAATAGCTTTTCATTAATCATAATTCTTGTTATTTTTATTGTCACTATACTACAAGGTTCTCAGATTCTTAGTATTTTCATAACCCATATGCATATAACTTGGGTCCATTAAGTTAATTAGTTAGGTCTAATGACAAAGACAGTTACAAACATGCCACATGCAACATGTAATTTTCCAGTTACTGGGCTTCTTTGACTGGCTTCTTGCTACTGGCCAGCTGTTCTTTTTGACTGATCTATGGATTGGAGGTCAAATGGTCACTGCCACGTGAAAAACTGAAGACGAAACATCCCCCACGGTGACCTGAGTTCAAACACTATTTGAAATACTTTAGCTGTGCTCAATTGAGCTTGCCAGTTGCAATGGATTCCAATAGAAAAGTCCCAAAAGTTCAACCCCGCCCACTTAGCACTCCAGGCAGACTAAAACAAATGCTCAAAGTATTAACATGATTTCAAATAGTATTTGAATCAGGGTCTCCACCCACATAGTGACCCAAACAGTAATGGCATTATTACCAATGTTTTGTAATGCAAATGATTTGTGTTTTATGGGGCTAGAAGTAGAGGGCACACCTGTATGTCACCTGTATTATTATGACATTGACAGCCGTCATCATTCTGACCCGGCTTGTCAAAATGGTCACTCAAATATTGAGGTTTCCAAACAAGAAAATACTTGCTTGACAAAAACACAAAATTATGTGAGCATTTTAAATAAAAGTATGAAAGGTTTTACTGATTAACTGAATTGTTTTGAAATGTTTGTCAAAATTAAAGAAGATATCAGAATTGGAAAAGTCGTTAACGACGTTAGAGCGTTCTCAACAAACACTTTTTTCAGACAAGGTAGTGACTACTGTTTTCAAAGTCAAGACAGAACTTAACCTATTGATAAGACAGAACTTAACCTATTGATAAGACCGAACTTAACCTATTGATAAGACAGAACTTAACCTATTGATAAGACAGAACTTAACCTATTGATAAGACAGAACTTAACCTATTGATAAGACAGAACTTAACCTATTGATAAGACAGAACTTAACCTATTGATAAGACCGAACTTAACCTATTGATAAGACAGAACTTAACCTATTGATAAGACAGAACTTAACCTATTGATAAGACAGAACTTAACCTATTGATAAGACAGAACTTAACCTATTGATAAGACAGAACTTAACCTATTGATAAGACAGAACTTAACCTATTGATAAGACAGAACTTAACCTATTGATAAGACAGAACTTAACCTATTGATAAGACCGACAGCAGAATTTACCATCCATCGAGTTAGACTCAACCATTACTTCCATGGTAATCAACCCAGTCGTGTACTGGCTAACAAGCTTCACAGTAATGATCAATTAGCGGATATTGCAACTATTGAATCTGAATCATGTGAATTACTATCAGAACCTAAATTAATTAACCAAAGATTCTCTCGTTTCTATAAAGAATTGTACTCCTCTAATTGTAAATCCACACCAAGCTAGATTGAGTTATTTTAAAAAGATATAAGAACTCCTCTTCTCTCGACTGAGGAAGCCGGCATGCTGGGAGCCCACATCTCTCTCCATGAACTCAAAAGGGCATTGGAGAACACGAATAAAGGCAAATCACCTGGTTGTGACGGTATTCTTCCTGAGGTCTATTTAAAATTTCGGAACCAATTAGTTGCACTGTAAATTGAAATGATTAACACAGCCGTTCACAAAGGTTCATTTGGAAGGGATGTAAATACAGTACTAATTTCACTTATTAAAAAAAGGTAAGAATGCCACCCAGTGCTCACACTATTGCCCTCGATCTTTGATAAACGCAGACATTAAACTATTTTCTAATATTCTGTCGTCCCGTCTCAAAACGTACTTTCCCAAATTGGTACATCTGGACCAAAGCGGGTTTGTTAAAAAAGTATTATCCTCAGATAACCTCCGTCGACTATTACATATCTTACATGCTTCATCAGAAACCAAAGCTGCTTGGGCAGTTCTATCTCAAGACACAGAAAAAACTTTTGCTAGACTAGAATGCTCATATCTATGGTCGGTTTTGGAACATATGGGACTTGGCTCCAATTTTAGTAATATGATTAAAGTATTATATGCCAATCCTTCTGCCATAGTTTGTTACAGGCTTTGGTTTTTCCATTTATGTTTTGAGGTTGGACTTTAGCACGTAAAGTTCGTTAGCACATAGGGTGCACCGATTGGTGTCACCTAGTTAGTCAGTATGTGTTACACCTGTGCTAGTTGCCATCTTGTTAGTGGGAAGGTGTTTCACCTGTGTTGGCCCAGGTGCTATTTAAGAGTGGCTGGCCCACTTGTCTTGATAGATGTGGAGGGTCAACAACTTTATTCGGCTCTCCCTTGTTTGATTTCTAGACAAACAATACTTTGTCTGATTTCCTTTTGGTTTGCTTCCTGTCTTTAAGTTGGTGTGGGTTTATCTTTTGTTTGCCTCTTCTTGGGCATATTTAGTGGGCACTCATGGTGGCTGTCTTTTAGGTTCCAGCTGTTGTTGCTAATCAACTTTCAGTGGACACCCCCATGAGTATCTTTCAGAACCCCTCCTAAAACCCCACCTGTTTCGTGTTGGTTGTTGGACAGTGACTCATTGTTAGTTCCCCCTTCGGTTTGAGCGACATTTTTAGTTTTCTTGCTGGGGAACGTAACAAAAATGGGGGCTTGTCTGGGATTTTGTGTCCTGTGAGTATGGTAGTCGCTCTAATCACCTACTCTGAAGCTCTGCTGTGCCCAGATAAGAGTGTTCAAAGGATACTTTTGTGGTAGTTTGTCAATGACATCCACCCTGAGGGGTTATAGGATTGGTGGAGTCATTTTGAAAGTTGCATAAACACAGGCTTATAAAATAAAAACCATTGACCTTAAGTTGGAAGCACTTGTGGAAAACCCTACATGGGAGATGCTAGATCAATGTATGATGGCAAATCTGCTCGTCATTGCAAAGCATTTTGACGTCAAAGTTTCACATGCCGATTCGAAAGCGGTAGTCAGTTAGTCTATACTGCTTTGGTAGAGGAGGAAATCCTTCCAGAGATGGAGGATGATGAAAAGGGTCCTACGGGTGGTAGAGTACACCCCACAGACTTGCAACTGCGAGAGGTAAAACTAAAGGCAAAATGGGAAAAACAGAAATTGGAGCTGGAACACAAGGAAAGAGATCGTGAGATTGTAGCAACAGAAATTAGAGTTTGAGCACAGGGAAAGACAAGATGAGCTTGCAGCCAAACAAGAACGTGAACATGGAACCAGACAACAAGAACAGAAATGTGAGCATGCCATTCGGGTAAGAGATACATGTAGATCTGTAAACACTCTGAATCCAGTCAGGCCCCCCTGCACACTCAACAGAGTTTGATCTTACTCGGAACAGCCGGCTTGTACCACCTTTTAACGAAAAAGAGGTGGATGTACACTAC